CCCTATGTTTTATAGTCGGAGAAGGGCGAGTAGCGCTTCGCCGACGCCTTCTGATGCTGCGTACAAGTTGCTTCGCTTTCAAAATAAGTAATTTTAGAAAGTATAACACTTTCGAAAATATACATATTGAGAAAGCTTGCTTCTTGACTAGCATAGGCATCGTCTTCATTGCTTATGGGTCTTCTGAGGCATGTGAAGCGAAGGTTGTCTCTGTCGAATGATGGCACGCTCGTGTTGCGGAGGTGACGGTGCGGCGTCGACTTGGTGTAGTCGGTGAGAGGCGACTACAAGGTCCTTGGTCGCAATTGTGATGTACAGGTCCCTGGAAGTGCTGCTGCGCCACCGACCAAGCCGCTGGAAGATACGGTCCGGGATTCCTGCGTTTGCTGCCATGGTTGCTGCACCTTTGCGAAAGGAGTGCGTTCCCAGATGGGTGTCGTTAAGGCCGATCTTGGAGAACGCCTCCTTGCACCAGGCACGAATGGTTGTGTAGGACGGGGAAGCGTCGTCCGCTGATGCTACGGTGCGGCGACCAAAGACGCGGATCAATGGCCCTTTGGTGAAAGGTCCATACCCCGCTAGGTGCATGAAGCGTTGGGTGCAACGTACTGGGCAGAATGGTCCCGGGTTCGTCGCCACCGGTACCCATATACCCCGACCCTCCTGGTCGGTTTTGGAATGAGGGATGAGAACCCACATGACGCTCTCCTCGAACTGAAGATCCTCCCAGCGGATGGCGACGAGGTCCGAGTATCGTAGGAACGCGGCATACATGAGTAAGGGGATGAGTCCTTTCTGAAACTCCGCAGGATCCTCGCTGGACAAGTAGGGCTGGGCCATGCTGTGAACTTGGTGAAGAGATACGGGCTCCTTGATACGAGAAGGGCGTGGGCAATGTTGTTTGGCATAGTCCCGGACCTGGCTGGTGAATGGACCTGAGACTGGGCAGGGGGCTCCAATCATGCGATGTGCGAAAGTCACTGCTGCGCAGGAGAGTTGTATCACGGAGATCGTGGCTTTGCGTTCGATCGCGTGCACCAAGTAGAGTGCGAGTGTTGTGTCGGTTGTCGGTAAAAAGGCCAGCTTGAAACGTTCGCACAATGAGCGAAACTTGAGCCAATAGGGGTCGTATGTTCGGATTGTCGAGTGTGCCCGCACTTGGGAGGTTATCTGGAGTAGTTGTTGCTGGAGCCGGATCATGGTGCCTGTAGCATGGCATCAAGGGGGCTCTCAGACTTTATTCAAATGAGACGAGAAGTGCGTGGATGGTGCTGTTAGGAAGGCCGAGGCCTGCGAATGCTGTTGTGTGAGTGCCAGTGCTGAGGCATTCGGCACCGTTTGTGAGGCGGATGTGAGTGCGCACTTCCGGTGCCCAGGTTTCCGGCGTTGGGTGGATACGGGGCCACCAAAACGCACCGGGCCATTCGGGCACCAGCAATGTAACCGTCGCGCGTGTTTGGCGAGCGTGGTGTAGGACTGCCGGAATCAGTTGAGGAGGTGGAAAGGCAAAACCGCGTTCCCGGGTCCATGAAATTGAGAAGGCATTGACGGCGTGTGCCGCAGGGTGGGGGGCTGTCAAACATTATACATGTTGTATTTATGTAGGCTGTAGTGGGTTAGCCTATAGGGGGGTCACAACATTAGGGTTTCATATTTGTACTCACAATCCTTGTTAGTTCATCATTCCAGTCCGTTATCACTGACAGGGGCTTTAGTGCAGAAGCGTGGGAGCTTGGCGTTGGTGGCGTTGGCGAAGAGATCGATGGTATGGGGGCCTAAGCGCCGTTCGAGGAGTCGAAACCATGGTTGCTTCAAGGTATAATCGTCGTGGTCCTGTAGCTTCGATAGAGCATCCGCATGTGTGTTCAGTGACCTGGGTATCCATTCAATAGCCAGTCGGGTCTCGTGCTGCACACAAAAATGGATGAGTGTCTGGCAAACGCGGGTGAGTTCCGCGCAGCGCGAACCACCCTTGCGTAAGATGAAGAACACCCCTTGGTTGTCGACCCTGACAAGCAGGTGCTTGCCATGTAAGTGCGCCTTGAACGCCTTGAGGGCCCAGAGAACTCCCTCGAGTTCGCGACGAGTGCTGGACGTTGTTGTCAAAGGTGTGGGCATATTTTCAGAAGCCTCGATTGTCGAGCCTTGGAAAGTTTCCAGCGTAGCTCCCCAACCGTGAGCGCTCGCGTCCACGTGAAGAACGGCGGAGAAGCTGTGCCGAATGTGGAATGGTGCGCCGTTGAAACTGTCAAACTCAGAGCGCCAGAAGTGCAACTCCTGCACTGCAGCTTGGGAAAGGGTCACCCGTTCGTGCCATGAGGATGCTTCGTTGATGGTTTGGAGCAAGTTGTGACTGAATGCTCGCGCCGTCGTGCCCAAAGCGAGGGACATGGATGCGAGCATGCCTGTCACTCGTGCGACTTGACGAACCGGAGTCGGTCGACGGGCTTGCCCCGCGGCTTCGAGGGAATCCAACGTTGCTCTTAGTTGTTTGCGTCGATCGTCGCCCACCGTAAAGGTGCACGTGGCGCTGTCCAATTCCAAGCCCAGAAAACGAAGGGACTGCGTCGGGAGGAGATGTGACTTCTTCCGGTTAATGACCAGTCCTGCACACCGCAGGTCGCCTATGACAGTGGAGCAAGTTGTGTGCGCGTGTTCTCGACTGTCGCATAGAAAGAGAATGTCGTCAACATATGGGACGACTCGAACGCCTTGGGAGCGCCATCTAGCAACGAGTTGCTTGATGAGTTGGGTGAAGACGTATGGGGCAGTTGCGAGACCGAATGGCAGAGACCGGAAGTAGTAGAAATGTGTCAGAGGTCCACTGGTGATCCCCGATTGATCCTAGGGAAGGGTTACAGGCATGGCGGCCTGGGGGTTATGGGCGCACTCACCCGCTACACAAACAAGCCCTTTTATCCCAGTGGTTAGTGACTGGGATTCTGACATGTTATCAGAGCGAAGGTCTCGGGTTCGAATCCCGGTGTGTGCACCTCGGGCATCCCAGTGCGGGGGGGTGTCAGAGGTCCACTGGTGATCCCCGATTGATCCTAGGGAAGGGTTACAGGCATGGCGGCCTGGGGGGTTATGGGCGCACTCACCCGCTACACAAACAAGCCCTTTTATCCCAGTGGTTAGTGACTGGGATTCTGACAAAATGACCTTCGAAGTGGAAACCGAGGAACTTCCAAAACGACGGGTGGATGTCCACATGGTGGTATCCAGATTTCAAGTCCACCGAGAACATCCAGTCGCCTGGCTTTGCGAGTTCCGCCACACGATGGAGACCTTCGTACTTGAACTTGGGTACCACGAGGTGTTGGTTGACACGACGCAAGTCCAAAATTAGCCGACATTTCTCGCGTTGTTCCACTACGTTGAGTGGGCTGATGCAAGTGAGCTTGTTGGTGGAACGAGCTTCCATAGCTGCTCCGGACGCCAGGAGGTCGCTTATCGCTTCGCGTGTGAACTTCGTGTGGGTGTGTGCACCGGCGTGGTTAGGTGCCGAGAATGGCTTGGGGGGAAGAGCCTTCCAAGGAAGCCAATAGCCTTTTGAAATGATCGAGAGGATGAAACTGCTTGTACACCACGAGCACCACCACGAGAATGCATGCTTAAGGCGTCCGCTCATGGACGTGACGTGCGAGTCTGTGATCGCATGCTCGTAGGGATCATGGACGAGGTCGCTTTCCATCTCCGTAAAACCTGCAACGACCCGAACGGACCACGCACAAAGTCAAAAGTGGGGTGACGTTCTGTGGCAATCGATGCTTCTGCGGATAAGCACAAAACGTGGTTGGCATTGTGGTTTTTTTTTTTTTTTTTTATCCAACCGTGCAACACGGGCAGCTCTACATGTACTGCCATGTCCACCAAGAAGGTGGCTTATAACGGCTCTTCTTCGCATTCGAAGCGAGTGGTGCCCCGCGCCCATAGGCTCGGCAAGACAAGTAAGAGCTAGTTTGTGGCTGGCCCTACCACGGGCTTGATCGTGGAGTCCCATTTGCGGAAGCTAGCAACCAGGTCATATGTGGATTGGTCACGCACCACTCGAACGATCGTGGGCTCGTCGTTGGTTTTTTTTTGGGTTGCGAAGCAACCCTTTACGATCGATTTTGCCAAATTTTATTTTCATGTTTATGTTTTTTAATCATGAAAATAAAACTTGTAAACTACAGTAATACCCTTCCCATATTGAATGCATGTTGTGGTGTTCTGAACACAGTACTGTTCATAGTGCATTAAACCATATGAGTATTTTGCTGTTGTTTAGTGCACATTTGCTGTACTGTTTACGTTATGTTTTATTGTTAGATGCTGTTGTGCATAAATAGATGCATGCATAATGCATAGATGATGCTATACAATCTATAATGCTTAATGTAATATGTTATGAATAATGCACATGCACACGATAAAATGCGTGACAGTTAATAACCCAAAATCTAAGCTACCGCCATCCCCTGCCTAGCATGGGGGGGAGGTCAATAGCTTAATTTTTGAATAATCAACTACCACATGAAACAACGCAATCTGTAAAGTCTTAAAAAAAGGTCAAATACCTATCAAATCCAGTTCGAAGTGGTCGCACACGAGTCACTGAGTGCGCCAATGAACCTTTTGTGAAATGATAGACCTGAGCCTTTTTTTAAGAAATCACAGACATGCATTGCTATTGCAATGGACAATTATACACACAGATACAAAAGCAAATACACACATAGATACATACGTATATACATACATACGTACATACATACATACTGGTACATACATATACACACACACACACTTACAAACGCACACACCAAACATACTTACTCACACAAAGATAATCAGTCACGCAATCATTTGAAGTCGACAAATAAAACCATGATAAGAACAAAATCTATTTGGCATTGTCTACTTTATCTCCCACCCATATTTCTTCAACTAAATTGTCTCAAAAGGACCCAGAAGTAAGGCGTGTGATTCGTAACCAACTTCAAGCGTTTCGATCTTCACCGTTGCTGCAAGAAATTAAATAATGAAACAACAAATCAATGGAACAATAGTAAGTTACATAATACCGACATTGTTTAACAAAGTAAAACACTAAGAGAATACTAAGAGTAACAAACAGTAAGACATTTCACGCACCTCAAACCTCCTCTTTGTCGGTGTGGCCGTTGGTTGGGTGCTCGACGTATCAAAGTTGACAGTGTCGACATTTGACTTCGGGACGCTCGAGATGTCAACAATGGTCTTGTGGATGCGCCCCCCCTCAAGACCAAAATGAACCTGAAGGGGGAAAGAGTATTAATGATTACACAATACTGTATACATTGACATTGCCTAAATAAAAATAATGTCATACCTTTACGAGCCATCGGCCTTGAAGAGCATCCAGCAGGCTTTGGCGCTGATCCGAGGGCAAGGAAAGAAATGTAGACATCTGGAGCTGCGGGATTACTTTTGTCAAGATGCTTGGTTGAACCACCAAGCCGTGGGCATGGTTCTTGAATGACACTGAGATTTTTGAGCAAAACAACACAATATTAAATGCTTTGACAAAACGTCCAACACTGTACACAAAACATACAAGTACAGTACTTACCGCTCTCGTGTACGACAAGTGTCACAGTGGTGTTATCGATCCGGGTGATCGATGCGGATCCATGCCTCGAGCACGAATGCTCGCGTGTACGACAAGATCTGTAAACAGTCAGTGGGCAGAAACCCCCCGGTCCACCCTTGCACACCGTGCGCGAGGTGTGCAAAGGATCCTTGATCTCAGCTACGAGAGACGCTATCTTCTCTTTCTTTGTTGTCATCACGACTGTGTCAACATTGCTCATCCTGAATACAAGCAACGGAAGAATTAATTTCGATCATCTCACTTAGAAATTGTTCAAATAAGCTATGTATACTTACAGCTGCACGAGCCCGACGTCTTGCGGATCCGCTGTGTCGGGAGCATCTGTGATCTCCGACGCTCGTCGAGCGTCAAGAATGGCAACATCCGAGAGCATTGTTGTCGTGAACAATGCCGACTTTAGATAGACATTGCTAATGTAGACAGGCACGTCCGTAGCATCCGGATGTTCATCCATATATGTCTTACAGCACTTGTCGATCCGTGTGGCAGCGTCCCCCAGCGCTACCAGGACACTCTCAAGGGAGGAATCGTGGATGCTCGCTGTAAGCTTGGGCAATCCACTTGGCTCCTCGTATGTTGGGGCTTTGAGTCTGACAGAAACACAGGGGATCTGGTAATATAGAGGAGCAAAATGTAATTAAGATGATTACGAAAAATAAGAAAAGATAAAGGAGAACATCATTAAACAATAACGTAACTGTTGGTATGCCAAATAATAATATTTCATGTAAGAACATCAACTACAACTGATGAAACGGATCATACGTATATGGTATTAAGCGTTAGGGTTGAGAACAGCAAATGAACCACTTGTGTAAAATCATGATCAATACCAACATGAATATAGCTACGCGCTTATCACTTCAAAGAAGACCGCACATAAAGTATAAATACGAATACAAGCAACTTGTTCTTGGTAAAGAATAAATACTAACTGTTGAACTATTTGTGTTGGTTTAGATGTGTTTTTGTGAGTTACATCATAAGGGGTACATCAAATGACACAGTTTTTGTCCTTCCTCTTTTCCTCGTTCTTAGTCATTTTTTCACATACCAAACTTAGCCGCAGTATAAGTCTTACCCTGGAATCGTCGTTCGTCTCGAAGAAGTTCATGAGCGGTGCAGTCGGCACGTCCCCCAAAGTCAGCGGCAGGCCCTCATCGTCTTCCACCAGGAATGAACAACGATGAAGCCAGGTCAGCTGCATGTCAAGGCCTCCGATAAGAGTCCTGTACAAATTGCATATATTAATATACATATTTATATGTACTCATGCATATGCTCAAGTCAGACTTAACTTACCAGCCAGGTTGTTTGCGCGAAGCATTGATACGACGAACTTGATAGACATCTCCAATGGAGATTCCCATCAAGAGCTCGTTCAATGCTCGCACGTCGCATCGACCAGATCCTGTGGACTCTGGCCACATGACCATCTCGGCGACAGAACGCGCTGCATCAAAGAGAAGCATCTTTCCTGGCGAAGTCTTTCCATCGTTCTTTATGTAAGTGTTCTTGACCCCAATCGCCATCACTTTAATATAGAAATCGGATGGCTTGTCTCCTCCTACTACCCAATCCTCCAGAAACTTGTGGTCCACCTCTACAGTGACCTGCAAGTAAAATATTATATGGTGAATGTTGTATTAACGAAGTGTATTGGATTTATGGTGCCTTACAATTATGCGCAAACAACATGAAAAGAGCAAACCTCACCGCATTACGGTCGTGAGGAGGTGGCAATGGCCCTGCTTTCAAAACCACATGGAATTTGAAATGCAACACAATAATTTTGGAGATGTTGAATTTGTACGATACGAAACTTTGAAGATGTATTGCAACTCTGGAGGTATATCAATCAATGACGACATAAACAAGGAAGTGGTCAGAAAAGTAAGTCTCGCCTACATGGACTTTGATATGCGTTTTGAAACAATTTGCCCACACGTGATCAATAAGTGTATTATTCACCGTAGTTGGCTCGATAACGAACTGAGTGAAACCACGACGTCTGAAGAAATTATCATACCGACGTTGTGGATTCGCATTGAAATCGAGATTGAAATCACCAATGAACATCATGTTATCATGAGAATGTTTAATAATAATGGATAATATCATATCAAACATAATGTTTTGATTATGCTGATTGGTCGGGTTGCGATAACAGCAAGTAATAATCAAACTTTTGTCTTTGATATCGATACCGAAAGTCAAAAGTTCAACTTTAGACTTTTCTTGATACTGCATCAATCTGATCGGAATTCGATGATATAGTACAATTCCGCCAGATTTGCAATCCGCACGGAAAACCTCAAAGAAATCATCTGTTTCGCTCGGTAATATATCATTTGAGCTCAAATGTGTCTCAAATAGAACCACGAAATCAAAATCATGCAGACTGTTAATATCCACGTCCTTGTAATGGCCCCGATAACTTCGTACATTTTGAAATACGAACTTCACACATGAAGATTGTTTTGAGATCACTTCAACTGATGGTGGATCCAGAACAAGAGGTCGATCCCGTAAGCGACACATTTCTTTTACAACGCAGGAATCGGTTCTTATGCAGGCTTCCGAAAAATTCGTTAAGAATAACCGATTGGGACTGCGAAAGCGACTTAGAGCAACGTAGGCGCCTTGAGGAAATACTTTCTTTTCAAAATGCACAACTCCACTATCGAAAGTAGCACCTTGACTTCGATGGAAACTAATCGCATTACTTGGCCGTAAAGGAAACTGCATTCGAGATATCATATCGTATCGAGAGTTGACAGAAAATGATTTCTCAATACGTTGTATAGGTGTCCAAGTTTGTTTGACTCCAACAAGTTTGGAGATCAACGATTCGGATTTTTTACGAATGTTACGCCCGACTGCATCGTCGTCAAATTGAATCCATATGATCTCTACCACACGTTGGTCATTTTGTGTAAAATGAACAACAATGCCAGGAGTGCCGTTAGCAAGGCCATCGGATGTATCTATAATACATGACATATGGACACTCGAAGTAGTAAATAGCTCCATAAGAGGTAACAATCCATGTGAGGTCGTCGTTGCAAAACCATGAGGTGTGATCGGCTTGTTTTTTCTAGATTGATCCTTCCCAAACAATGCACAATCTAATGCTGGGATCGCATGTTTTTCTTCCAAAGAGGAGGAATACACTTCATGATTAAACAAATCAATGGCTTTATTCGTGCAACACAGATGTTGGAGCTCTATTCCTGGTAAGTGAGTATCCATCTGACGCTCGTATAACAGTTGAACGTCCGAGCGAGTTTTTTACCTTCACGTAATCGATTTAACAACTCGGCAAATCTAGCCTCATCGCGCTGACGCATTATCGTCGTGAGTTCCACTAGTCGTACGCGTTCCCATAACTGCGATAGATTTATGGCTGATGTCGAATGGTCTCCGAAACAATGGATATCGCGCACCGGAGGAAGTTGCCCACCATTCAAACGTATTTTTGCCCACCATTGATATTTCATCAACAATGACAACTTTTACGTCACCGAGTCGTGCTCGCAAGGTATTTATCTTATCCGATGTCAACTTCTTGATTCGTCGATTTTGAACGACGGGAATCATTAGGGCATTATGTATCGTATAACCCTTGATCTGAAAAGCAGCAACACCTGAAGGTGCGATCTTTAACACCTTAATGGTACTGAAGTCCGTGTGAATCTGCGCATGAAATATCCGCAATAATCGATCATGAACAGTCTTAATCAATACGGATTTGCCAACGCCGGCACCACCACTCACGAGTATGCAAAGAGGTCCATTTTCGAAACCTCAACGTGCTGCAAAATCAGCAAGACATACAGCCTCCATAATGGTTGGACGATTTAGATATCGATCCAACAAGGCATATGGCTTGAATATATCTGTCGATTGGGGATCCAAGCGTTCTAACTCCGCCTTGGGCTTCAACAACAACAACCGTTGACGAGGGTGATTGGTATTGATGAATTCTACGGCACGTGTAGATTTTTTGTACGGAAGACTAAGAATTAGATATATCGCCTCTTGGGCGCTAATTTCCTGCGTATTCAATATATAGTTTCCAAGATCGCGAAGAACGTGTAGAACACCTTTGCCTTGTATCGCCGCAAAATTTTTCGCATTTTCTATAATTCTACTCATTCCTTTACCCGATTTTGTCATGTAAGCAGCTATATACGTTGCTACACTATATGGGTCAATACATAATTGAATATCCATGTTTCCACGCCAAACTGTCAGAATTGTCTTGTTGATCTTATTGACGTAACAGTCTCTCACTTCTCTTGCATGAAATAGTGTTCGTTTTTTCAAACCTATTCGAAGACAATTTATATACTCATCGTATGTTAGACGAACCGTATCCAAGAATGTGGAAAACGTCAAGTTAGACGTTTCGACCAAATGATGTTTTCCGAGCGTATTAAGAAATTGATCCACAGTCGCTTTATTTGACCTATGACGTTCTAGATCTGCTTCCGAGAAGTTTTTGTCAGAAGGCATTAACACCAACGTATGGGGAAGTGGATACTTTGGTATACCAAAACGACACTTTCGTATCCTGCCGCCCTTGTTTAATCGGCACGTTCTAGTGTGACTGTGCGTTTGCACTCTCAAAAGATCTTCCGTTTGTGAATCTTCTGTGAGGTCTTGCGCATGACACGAAATGTGCTTATCAGCAAATTCAAGAATCCTCTCCAAAGGAATTGTTGTCAGAATATTATGCTCTAGCCTGCAGTGGGGTGCTCTATAGCGAGTACAACCCTTCTAGGGTTAGCTATTTGTACCACCATTGTTGCTAGTGCAAACCTCTCCTTTCTTCATTCTTACTTTCTACAGCTAACTTTGACATGCTATCAGAGCAGGTCGACCCTCCTGGGTCGATCCTGTGGGTGGGCCCACCACCTAATGCTTCCGCTGCTTTACTTCCTGCCGGGCGCCTCGGGCGCGCGACGACTTCTTCCTGCCGTGCGCTCGGGGCGCGCGGCGGTTTTCTGCACGCCGTGCGCCCCGAGGCGCGCGGCGGTTTCCCACCGTCGAAGTGCCCCCCGTCGCCCGTCGAAGCGCCCTCCCCCCGTCGCCCGTCGAAGCGCCCCCGTCGCCCGTCGGAGCGCCCCCCGTCGCCCGCCAAAACGCCCCCGTCGCCCGTCGAAGCGCCCCTGGGGCCCGCGCGCGGCCCGTACGGGCTGCGCCAGGCCCGCGCGCGGCCCGTACGGGCTGCGCCAGGCCCGCGCGCGGCCCGTACGGGCTGCGCCAGGCCAGCGCGCGGCGCGGGCAGCCTGCGCGCGCCTCGTCCGTCCCCCTCTCGCCGTCCCCCGCGCTCCTGCCCCTATCCCACCCGTTTTAGGGTTTGGGGATGTAGAGTGTGGGGGTGGCGGGTGTGGGGGTGCCGGTTGTGTGCCCCGTCCCCTCCTTCTCCTCCTCCTCCGTCTCCCGCTGCTGCAGCTGCCGCTCAGGGGGGTGGTTGTGTGGGGAGCCGAAGGAGTGGTCCTAGGGGGGTGAAGGGGGAGTGGAGCTAGGGGCGCAGCAGGGGGTGTGTGTCGAGGGGTGTGGGACTGTTGGGGGAGGTTGAGCGGAGGTTGCCGTCGTGTCGTACGCAGCGCCTGTACTCCGGGGCACTCATTCCCGGTAGCTCAGAGAGCCGGTTGCGCCGTCGCCTGTGGGTCCGTTGCTCCTGCCGCGCATATTAGCCGCGGAGCCTGTTACTCCTGTACTCCGGGGCACTCATTCCCGGTAGCCACGTTGTCGCACCAGAGCCGTCTGTTGCCCGTGTGTCTGCATCTTCAGTCGTCGCCTCCTATCTACTCTCCTCTCACCAGCCCTCCTCCTCCTCACTTGCCCCCTGTGACTGCCTCTAGCTTTGCTCATAATTGTGAACCTTAAACTATTGCTTCTTGCTTGTGCTCAGAATGTGTGGTGACATCGTGATCCACCCTGAGCTTGTACTACTTTGCTTGCTCTGCTGATTACACCCCACTTTGACTATGGGGGTGTGTCAGAATATTATGCTCTAGCCTGCAGTGGGGTGCTCTATAGCGAGTACAACCCTTCTAGGGTTAGCTATTTGTACCACCATTGTTGCTAGTGCAAACCTCTCCTTTCTTCATTCTTATTTTCTACAGCTAACTTTGACAATTGTTGCGTCACATGCCAAGAACTCACTCCATATAAGACAATGAGAATGGGGAGCACCTCGATGCTGGAATTCGTCGAGGACAAAATAATCAACGACTGTTCCGAGAATGCCAGTTTTTCTCGTCAAGATCTCTCGAAACAATGCATTCTTCCGTTCGACATAGTATCGTGCGCATACCACTGGGAATGTACGCACAAGTAAAGCTACGGTTTCAAAATCTAGGGGAGGATTTATATTAGTGTTTGAGAGTTTAGCAAGGTTTCCTGTATTTCTGTTGTGCTTTAGCAAAATGACGTGCAAGTCGACCCATTTTGTATCCGCCAAGGAGACAGTCAGAAAGAATGTTGGCGGACCCAATTGTCTGATCATTGCGAATATGTCGCGTCTGCAATCTTCCAAGTACTGCGGCGATACACGGAGACTCTTGAATTCGTTGAACAATGCATCTTTTTTCTGCAACGATCTTCGTACGTCATTGTTCAGCATATCTTTTGCCGAATACTGACCAACGTGCTCAATTATCTCCTTTCGCACGCGAGTACCAATTACATTGTCCATTTGAAGCAATTCCAACTTAAACATTTTGAAGAATATATTTGATGGGCACGAAGAGAAGCGTGCATCTTGGTTGAGTAGCTCCCACTTGGCAATTTCACGATAGTTTAATGATGATGTGTCAACGCCAGTTAAGCGAGCTTCTCCACAAAATAATGTTGGAAATGCTAATTCTTCGACAAATTTGTCCATGAGTATGGGCATCGGTCTCGATCCTTCGCCAGGTGCCATCTCCACTACGAATTGCTCCAGATTTTGATAAAGCGGCTCGTTGCAAAGTATCGTATCCAATATGCCAACGTTAAGGTAAGTTTCGTCGATGTCTAGTTCCACCTCCTCATCCGATAAACCCAAATCTCTCTCACGAGATTGTCCGTCATCTGTGGCTTGATCTTGTGATAAAAACTCGTCGTGAAGTTCCCTATCAAGAATCTCTTGTTGCAATTCTGACATCCTTTCCTCATCCAGCGTGATTCCATGATGTTTGAAAAGATCTTTCTTTTCAAGAAACGAAAGGGCGCGCAAAATCTTGGCGGGCCTCACGTTGTCGTCAAATACGTTATGTGTATTACACAATTTGCGTTTGAAACGAACGCGCACTGAATGCGCTTCTTGTGGTAAACGAGGTAATGCAGTCACCATGTCAACAACTTTAACAGGAACATTCACTATCCCACCTCGTATCTTGTATTGTTTTCCCACGTGACTTTGTGTAATGCTTGAAAACACAATACGTGGTGAAATTAACCGCTCCTCCAAATTTGACAATCCTGAAAGATCGTCGTGACGTTTCGGCAACAAAGCAACTGCCATTCGTGAAAGAATTGGAATTTTGCTGTTCGCAATGTCATTTTTGCAACCATTGCAAACGTTTTTCAATTGTGGAAAGTCTGAACTTTCCAATTTGGACAATTGGCGCCTGAACATTAACTTGTCGCAACTGTCGCACCCGAATATTGGACCTTCCTTGGAAGCTTCTTCAAATCGACCTTTAGCTTGCTCCACGCTTTGCGAATGCGTGTGTTCTTCGTTGAAGCGCTCTTCAACATCAGCAAACAATGCATCCAAATGATCATTGTGAATCAACGCGCCGTCGTTGTAATACTCGTCCACATTAAATGATAAGTTCTTCCTGCATTCGGGGCCGAAAATTAGATGCAACAAGTATTGTCTTGCACGTGCCGCAGATTCTTCTGAATCCCATTTTTCGTACATATAAGGTTTACCGCGCACCATTATTCGAAATCCAAACTTCTCACAACCTTGGTAAACGCCTGTATACGTCTTCTTCGAATTTTGCGTAGATGCGGTATTATCGTCGATCTTAAACATCGAGTCAAAAAATGGGACGCGCATAAGTCTTTCGTTATCGATGAAATATCGTCGGTCGAACGGAAGCTTCTCTTTCGTATTCAATCCTTTATACTTTAAGACAGCGTATTGACGTGCCCAAGCGGCATGACGATCTGTAAGGAACCCGCCAACGCGTATTTTTCCTCCTTTTACCATCATCCTTACTGTGTATCGAGATCGTTCTACAATAATACCAGTAAGGTCTCTAATCGGTGCAATGTTAGGAATCGAAAAATGGATATCTCCATTTGCATCAATCCTTCCATCTGAAATATTTACAACAGTCACATCTTCCACTTCGTCAACACAACTCGGTCGCGCATGGCGTGTTCCAGTAGTTGGCACTGAATCAGATGAGGCAACGTGAATACCTGAAGATGACATTTTCGCACTTCGTGGAGTGTTACGCTCCTTATCACCCAACCCGAGTTCAGTGCTCGGCACGACCGTAGCTGGTGATACCAAGTTTTGTTTAATGTAGCTATCTCTGTCATTTGTCACATCATGTACAGTTTGTGTGGTTGTTTCAAAAGGAAATGAGGTGCCCCAAATTTCGCCTTTCTCACATTGCTCGAGAAGTGTGTAGTGGTTGTTTGATAACCAAAGATGAATTTGATTATTATTCGTTAGAAATTCAATTCCTTCATATTGGACCCATTCACGGGAATGGAGCCAAATAATAACAGTCATGTTCAGTAACTCGCAAAAGGCTTTGATTTCGCAAACTGAACCCCAAACTGAAGGATGTTGAATATAATTGACATATTCATCCGCCGATGCTAGCGGAACATCATGACACATCGACACTATCATTTGGTATCTTGCCCAATTTGCATGTACATGTTGAACGATTTTGTCCTTTAACGGGCGCCAAAGTTCATCATTATTGGTTATTGCGAGTGACAAGCACCGATATAAACATGCCCCATCCCCACGTACATTTCTTCTACGAAACACAAACCTTCTTCTTAACGCACCGTCAATTGAAGCCCCCGTAAAGAGTCTAGGTGCAGGAGTACCCATCTCCAAATGTCACGAAGTGCTCCCTCAAATGCCCCGACGCCAATCCAGGTTCGCACGCTGAAAAACACAGAGACAAAGGAATTGACACAAAAACCAAAATGGATGCACGATATATATGTATATATTTTGACAAGATAGTACTAAAATTAAAAAGAACAATGCATAAACATAATAGTAATTAATCCCATTATAAATAAGTCGCAATGAAACATGCCTGATTTATATTTTGAATGGCTAAATGTATGACCAACAAACAGAGAAGAAGGCACAAAGTACCAGCAATATTAACATTAAGAAATTAAAGCACAAAAGCACAAATGATATTTTTGTTGAAAAATTCAGAACATTATGGACCTTAGATATTCAGCTTCAGCAAGATTCAAGCGCCCACAAAGAGTTTCAACACCAATCTGAGCTTAAACACAAAAGGAGACAAACTTGTTTAAAAAATGAGTTAAATAGAAAAAATATCCAGCAAAAATTAAAGCATAAGAGAAGCATATACACAAGTATATACACAAGCTACAATATTTATTTACCAGCTACACCACCAAATAAATTGCTCAAAATGAGAATTGCTCCATGAAATAATAATACATTATATATTAAAAAAAACAATGTAAATGGCTTGAATGCTTACAGCCAACACTTCAGTAGACTCCCAGTTTCGGAAGGGATGATGCGGAATCTTGATTATGTTGCTGTAAGACAGTACACAAAACGTATAGTACATATGTATCAAATATTAGAAACACATACATTTAAATTAGAAGTAGAAGCAAGCATTAAAAAGGTGAAAATATTGAACAGAATAGTTGTGATACAACTATGTTCTTAATAAATTCAGAACATTGGTGAACATAGGCAAACATCAAATTTGACCTTGGTATGCTGAACAATCTGACACAATTTCAATGCTGACGGTGTGGATCCGTTCTTGTTTTCCCTGCTGAGAAGAGTAACAGAATGAAGAACAACAGCACTTTTCATGAGACTTAAATTGAAAGACAAAGTAAAAATAAAAAGCGGGTAAATCAATATTATTAACAAACAAGCAATCTCAAAATCGTACCACAAAAACTTCAAATGGAGACTTTGAAATTCGGTGCAGCCTGAAGTGAAGATGCTGATGTAACCCAACTGTTGATGATTGATAAGATAAGCACGTTCAGGAACAAAAAACAGGGTGTTGGATTGTATGTTGGTATATGCAGGAACATAGAAGTCAACACATGAGGTTAATAAATACACACAAGAATTGAGCTCAACTTTCTTCTAGATAGATAAGCTAGGGTACATCATGAAAGGTGATGAGAAGTGGAGACTAGCAGGAAGAGTTTGAAATCGAATTGTTGAAATTTAGTAAAAAAAACTATATTAGAAACTCATATCTTCACCAAACAGCCAAGCACGTGACTAAGAGAATAGAAGAATATCTCAACTCACTTAACGTGGGGCAATAGTAGATTAAGAAGAGTTGAATGATAGCTTATTAACTAGATAGGTACCTTGAAGGTCTTGAATGTGTTGAGCTTGGTGTGAAGAAGAACAATAGAAGAAGCTAAAGGAAATCTTGAGTTTGGTGTGAGTAAGAGAAGGATGGAAAAGAAAGGAAGAAGGAGCTAGGTAATGCTTTGGGAAGGGAGAAGTGGAAGAGCCTTTCTTGATTGGACACAATGTTGACCAATGGTAAGGTAATTGCTACTGTGAACTTAGACAAAAAAGCAGTTGGAAGCATTGAGCTAGAAACAAAACAACCAATAGAACAATGCTGCTTTTCTTGTTTCTAGTTCATAGTCCATAATCAATTTGTTGACAAATTACAGTTGTACAACTGTTTTTTTGTTTTCTAATTGAAAATCGTTTTCATTTGACAGTTACAACCGAAATATAGGACAAAAGCAGAGCAGACGAACGACAACTTTCAAGACAAAAAACAAAAACGTGAGCTGGCGTTTTTCAGTTACAACAGCCACAATGAGCACTTACGACAAGAACAACAACGTGAAACAGAGGACCAAAGGTTCTGTTTCACGAAACCCCCGTTTCTCTACCCCCCCCCCCCCCCCCCCCCCCCCCCCCCCCCCCCCCCGGCCCCTCCCCCTCCACATTTCACGCGCGAGATATTCTGCTGACGTTCTCCCCCCCTCCCCCCCTCCACATTTCACGCGCGAGAAAAACAGCAGCGAACGCTCGATTTGATTTGGGGCGACGCTGCTGACGTCAGCAGTTTTTCTCACGCGAGAATTTATGTCTGACGTCAGCAGCGACTTTCGAAATTTCGCGCAAATTTCGAAGCTGACGTCAGCAGCAAAGTTCGAAATTTCGCGCGAATTACCTAACGCTGATGACGTCACCGAGACGAAGCTGACGTCAGCACTCCCAAATTTGAAATAACGTTCAAATAATACATCAACAAACATTCTAGAACTGTAAACATAGAAATAAAACCTACAACTACTCATGTAAACGTTCTTATTGATGTAGAAAAAATCAAGTCTACCACGTAAATACTGAGGAACAATTAAGAGCTTCAACTCAACATTCACATAAGAACATACCGGTAAAGAATGCATAAATATTCCTAATTTAAATATGACGATGTGATCAACTTCATTCAAAAAACTTTTAGAAAGTTACACTTGTTGCTTCGCAACCCTAAGACGATTTCGTCGCCTCTTTTTTTTTTTTTTTTTTTTTTTTTTTTCCAGCCGAGCTCTCGTAGTGCATGAGACAATGACAATTACACATGGTGTCCCCCCCTTTTGTTTTGTTTTGTTTATTTTTTTTTTCATTAGCAGCAAGCAATAACATAGCACACTTAAGGGGCCACAAGGCCTACACACAAAAGCAAAATAAAGCGCCCCGCGCTCTCCCTTATGCTTCACCGAGCAAACGGGGAACGTGATTCCCGGACCCATGGTCCCTAACCTTCCTAGGCTTGGCCCCCTGGCCGTGCACCCCCTGGTGCAGTCCTGCCAGCACCCGTACCCTTTTGGGTAGGGCTGCAAAAGGCATCACACTCGGGCCAACAAGGCACGTCACACAACGGGTGCCGGGCCTTGAGCCCCAGGTTCACCCGAAGGGCAAGCACTAGCCATGTGCCCTGCCTGCCCACAGCGGAAGCAGGAGCCTTTGAAGGGCCTGGTGCTGCATGCTGCGGGGACGGAGGCCTTAGTGTTGAAGGACGAAGCCTCACGTGCATGGCCTCGGCCGCCGCGAGCATACGGGCCATAGGACCTCTTGGCCGCCGCAACGTCCGCCGCCGCCTGCTTGAACGGGCGTGAAGTGAGAATACTCTTTGCCTGGTACAGCTGGTAGCGATTGGCGGTGTCGAATCCAGCGGCGTCCGCCACCTGAAGCACCTCAAAGCGCTTCATAATGAGTGCTTGTCCTTGGGCAAGGTGAGTGAGAGCGCTGTCGATGTCACCGCGGCGAGCCTTGAAATCAGCGTGCTTCAGGTACGCCAGCAAGGCCTCGAAGACCTCGGCTTGCTCGCGGACTCCTTTGCAGGTGAAGGATGCTGCAGCCACGCTCGGGTTAGAGGATGGGAGGGGTGGGAGGTGTTCGGCGATGGTGGGAAAATTCGTCGAAGGGGAAGCCTCACCATTCTCGCTGTCGTCGTCGCTGTCATCTTCAGGTGCGTTGGGGGGCGCCGCAGTTGCTGGGTTGAAGGCAGTGCCGGCGTGACGCGGCAGCTTGGCGGCGCGAGGAGGCGGAGAAGACTCATATTTCTTTTCCGGATTTGCAGATACATTTGTATCGTTTCTGGAAATTGAACGGGTAACACTCGGTTGCTGCTGGTGTAACAGCGCCAGAAGCGCCGTTACCTGCTCCGGCGAAAGACTGAGGGGGGTCGAAGCTGGGGCGGGTGCTGGCACACGCCCGGCCGTCTGTGCAGGTGGCGCGCGATCTTGACCGCGCGTGCCTCTGCCAGGCGCTTTGACGGACGCGGCCGGCGTGACGTCAGCAGCGTCTGGCGTTTTCTCGCCAGGCGCGTGCTCCTCGCGCTGCTGCTGACTCGGACGGTTGGCAGGGGCGGGGTTCTCGCTCGGCTCTCCTCCTCCTCCGAGCAGAACTTCGACAGCAGTGGAGGGGGTCTTCCTTTTTGGCCGACGGTCGGGTTCCCCCGCCTTTTTTCGGGACTCGGAAATGGGACGGGCGTTCCCGTTCGTAGTCTCGTCGCGGTTGTCATTAGGGCGTATTCCTATCCTCCTATCAAGAAAACCTCTTATCAAGCTCACACTGAAAAATTCCCTAAACCCAAAATCTCTCGCTACTTTCACCAGGCAAAATGTGCATTCTTGATAGGAGGTTTCTTGATAGGAGGCCGTAGGAATACGCCCTTAGAATGAGCCATTGTCGCTAAGTTGTGGTTGAAAATGTCCGTTAGGAGCGTTGAGGGAAAACTGAACCGAGGAAAGGAGCGAATCCTCGCCAGCTTGACGGGCAAAAATCTGAACTTGAAAGTTCGAAAATGAAAACGTGGGTGAGGCCAAATGGCCGAAACCCTATGTTTTATAGTCGGAGAAGGGCGAGTAGCGCTTCGCCGACGCCTTCTGATGCTGCGTACAAGTTGCTTCGCTTTCAATGAAGTAATTTTAGAAAGTGTAACTCTTTCGAAAATATACATAATTTAGGAATTCAATAAAATTATTGAAACACTAACCAGGTCTGTTCCCATGTCCATGGCATCACATCACATTCCATTCCTTGCACAACTAGCTAGCCTTCACAGCATGCACTACTGAACATGTTTTGATTTTGAAGCTACGCTTGAACTACCATACCACATTCACCCTGTATCAATCAATGCTACCACACCACACCCTCTTCAATCAGCCATCGATGCTGCAAATATCGTTCGGCAAAGAGTGGGAGTTGAGTTGAGACCTTGGAAAGCATAGAAAGCGCCTTCACATCAGCTTACGTAGCTGAGACCGAAGGGGACGACGCAGGAGTCTGAAAAAAGGAGAAATAAAAAGGTCATCCCGCAACATACGGCCTCGCCCTGCCTCACGCCACGCTGCCTCACTCCTCCGCACCTCACTCCGCACCGCACCCAACATACGGTAAGGAACTCCTCACCAACCCTGAGAGAAAGAAACTGCATGGTCTCCATACACGAGGCCTGATCATTCTCCCAACCCCATCCCCCCAGGCTCCCCAAATAAAATCGAGCACCCTACACGGCGAAGAGCACACGCTCATAGGTTGCGTTCCCGCCAGTCTTTGATCATGGTGCGCACGGCATGGTTGGGCACGAGGTCCTTGGAGGGCAGCTTCTCGTTGGTCATGGGCGAGCGGTCGCTGCTCTCCAGCCACGACTCTATCGCCTCCTTCTCATACGTGTGCCCGTCCGCCGCCAGCACCGGGTTCACCATCATCTCCTGCGCGGTTCAGAGCGGTGAAAAAGGGTGGAGGAGGATGCCAAGGTGGGGAAGAGGGCGGGGAAGAGGGTGGGGAAGAGGGTGAGAGGGTGAAGGGCCTGGCAGGGAGGCTGAAGGCGGGGGGGGGGGGGGGGTCGGTCATAGGTTGCGTTGGCGCCAGTCTTTGATCATGGTGCGCACGGCATGGTTGGGCACGAGGTCCTTGGAGGGCAGCTTCTCGTTGGTCATGGGCGAGCGGTCGCTGCTCTCCAGCCACGACTCTATCGCCTCCTTCTCGTACGTGTGCCCGTCCGCCGCCAGCACCGGGTTCACCATCATCTCCTGTGCGGTTGAGAGCGGTGAAAGCGGGTGGAGGGTATGAGATGCAGGGGTTGAGAGGGTGGACAAGGAGAGTTAGTGGCTTCTCGTATGTGTGCCCGTCCGCCGCCAGTACCGGGTTCACCATCTTCTCCTGTGAGTAGTGGGGAGAGGGGGGTGGGAGGGGGTGGTGAGAGGTGGTGGCATGAGTGATTGGGCAAGGGAATACTAGAGGTATCTCGTACGTGTGCCCGTCCGCCGCCAGCACCGGGTTCACCATCATCTCCTGTACGGGGTAGTGGGGAAGGAATGTGTGTGTGTGTGTGTGTGTGCGCGCGTGATGATTTGCTTATTATTTTTTTTCCCTTATTCGCGCTTCTGAGTGAACCCAGGAAGAAATCTATTACCCCCTCCCCAAGCAAGAAGGCTTTTTGTAATGGGCGGGTGTACCCCTTCTCCCCCAGCACAGGCTGCACTGCCCTTGCCCGCGCCCTCGGCCTATCCAGCACCGGCATGACATGCGTCTCCAGATCCGCTCAAAATACACAGGGAGAAGGAGAAACGGGGGCCACAATCACAAGGGAACCCAATCTTGCCTGAGTGATGGGACAGAACAGGCTGCTGGGCGCATCCCCAAGCGACCGCTTCGCCGGCGTCTTCCTCGCCTCCTCCTCCGCCTGAACCGCCCTCGCCCTCGCCCGGTCCAGCACCGGCATGACATGCGTCTCCAGATCCGGCCGCTTCTTCCTCCTCATCTCAGAGCACTTCACCGCAATCTTAGCCACCTCCATAACGATATCCAGCGGCCAGTTGCCCGCTTTTTCATCTAGAAACTCTCTCATGGCCTCCTCGTCTCCGTCGTCCACGGCTTCTTCTAGCCCTTCATACACGTTGGGTTTGCGGCCGGTGAGGAGATCGAGGAGCACGATTCCGAGCGCGTAGACGTCAGATTTCGGGCCGAACTCGCCCGTGCGTTGGAACTCCGGGTCGACATACGCGAAGGTGCCGACAGGGACCGATTCCCGCATGTAGGTTTGGTCCATGGAGAGACCCGGCATGAGCTTCGCGAGCCCGACGTCGCCGAGTTTCGCGACGAAGTTCTTATCGAGGAGGATGTTGCCGGGCTTTAAGTCGCGGTGCACGATGGGCACGGGGCGCGTGTGGAGGATGAGGAGCGCGGAGGCGATTTCGGCGGCGACGCGCATGCGCGTGTACCAGGGGAGAGGGGGCGTGTTGTTGGCGCAGAGCAGACGGTCCTCGAGGGAGCCGTTGGCCATGAACTCGTAGACGAGGCAGTACCTGTCGGGACAGCAGCCGAGGAGCATCACCACGTGGGGATGCTGGATCTGACTCAGCACCTCCACCTGAGGGGAGGGAGAAGAGGAGGGGAGAGGGAGGCAGAGGGCAGGAAAGGGACGGGGAAAAAAGACGGAGAAAAAAGAGGGGGAGGGGGGGAGGTGGGGGAAGGTTGGGAAAGCGATTGGGGAGGCGTGTTGTTGGCGTGGAGCAGGCGGTCCTCGAGGGAGCCATTGGCCATGAACTCGTAGACGAGGCAGTACCTGTCGGGACAGCAGCCCAGCAGCACATCACCCATCTTGCAGCGAGTCCTACAACACGTGACTCCATATTTCTCTGCACTTTTCTCACCTCTTGTTGGAACTCGTGCGCGGCCTGCATGGCGTCCGTGTTCTTGAGCACCTTCACGGCCACGGGCGTGTGGTGCAGCGTGCCGGAGAACACCGTCCCGAACCCGCCCTCGCCCAGCTTCCTCTCCGCCTTGAAGTTCTCCGTCGCCATCTGCCATGCCGTGCCATAGGCGCATGAGGGGGGAATGCGGAAGAGTCTTTTTGAGGCGTCTCAAGAACACGGGCGAGTGGTGCAGCGTGCCGGAGGACACTGTTTTAAACCCGCCCTCGCCCAGCTTTCTCTCCGCCTTGAAGTTCTCCATTGCCATCTGCCATGCCAGGAAATGGGCCCATGGGGTAGGAACAAATACTGTTTCTGAAGCGCATAACAAACAAACGCGTGTGGTGCAGCGTGTCGGAAAACACCGACCCAAACCCGCCCTCGCCCAGCTTCCTCTCCGCCTTGAAGTTCTCCGTTGCCATCTGCCATGCCGTGCCATGCGTGGGGAGGGGGAAACAGAAGCAGGTGGTTTCTGAGAAATCAAAAACACCATCCCGAACCAACCCCGTCCCAAACCCACCCTCGCCCAGATTGCGCTCCGCCTAGAAGTTCTCTGTTGCGAACTGCCATGCATGGGGAGGGGGAAACAGAGGCAGGTGGTTTCTGAAAATCCTCAAACACCCTCCCAAACCCACCCTCGCCCAGCTTGCGCTCCGCCTTGAAGTTCTTCGTCGCAAACTGCCATGCCACGGACGGGGAAGGGAGGAAACGAGCTGATAATTCAGTAATGTCAGAAAATGATTCACCTTAAAGTTCTCCGTACTGTATTCGTCTGCCCTGCCATGCCATGCCATGCCATCCCATGCCATGCCATGCCATCCCATGCCATCCCATGCCATGCCATCCCATGCCATGCCATGCCATCCCATCCCATGCCATGCCATGCCACCATGCCATGCCATGCCATACAAGTGGAGGAAACGAGCTCTGGACGGGAAGATCTTCACGCAACACAAACATGCCCACCCATCCACCTACCCACCTACCCACTCACCACTTAACCACCCACTCACCCCCCACTCAACCCCACTCACCGATTACTCGCGACAATTCACCATCATTTGCATGCGTGCATGCACATACCCACCTTCTACGCTCGTGGCGATTTTGGCAATTCGGCAGTCATTCGGGTCCTGCTCATTCCCCCGTCTATTCACCACAATGTCGTCATAAAAGAGTACTCGCGGTAACTCGCCATCATGCGCATGCGTGCACGCACGCATGCACCCACCCACCCATCCATTCACCCATCCATTCACCCATCCACCAACCCATCCATCCAAGCGCCCTTTACTCACCACAATGTCGTCATAAGAGTATTCGCGGTAATTCGCCATCATACGCATGCTGCCCTTTTCCGATTTCGCCTTCTTCTCCGCCTCCTGCCGCCGTTTCTCCTCCAGCTCCAGCGCCGCGCGCGTCATCGCCGCCTGCTTCATCGCCACCTCCGTCTTCTGCGCCTCCAGCTCCGCCTGCTTCCGCGCCTCCTCCGCCGCCGCCATGGCGCGCGCCGCCTCCTGCGACGCCATCTCGATGCGCACCGCCGTTTCCAGCTCCCGCCGCTTGTTCTGCGCCTCCACCTCGCGGAGGGAGCGGTCCGCTTCGGAGAGCGCGCGCTGCGCGCGCTGCTCCGCCTCCAGGCGCGCCTTCTCCGCCTCCGCCGCGCGCTGCCGCATCAGCTCCAGCTCGCGCCGTAGGTCGTTCTGAAGGTTGTTTCAGGCGATGAATGGAAAACAATACGGGGAGGAAGGGGAAGGGACGGAGGGAAGGGGAGGGGAGGGAAAGGGAAGAAGGGGGGTTGGAGGGGAGGGACGGGAAGGGAGGTGAAGGAAGGGAAGCCCGTTGCTCGTGAGCTTCAACTCGCGACGTAGATCGCTCTAGAAACAATGCGTGGGGATGCCTTCAGGTAAGGCGTAATCATCCAGGCTTGTGGGTATTGGGAATGTAAAAAACAACAACTGGTACTCGGCAATTGTGTGCGGTGTGTGTGTATGTGGGGTGTGTGGGAGGGAGAGGGGGCGAGAGATCGAATGAAGGAGGAGGGAGAGGGTGGTGGGTTAATCAAGAGGGCATGGAAAAGCGGGAGGGGGGGAGGAAAGGTGGGGAGGGGTCGGGAGGGAGAAAGGAGAAGGGGAAGAGGCAGCGTCCTAGACTCAGATTTCAAGCTCCTCACCTCCACGCCGCCACCACCTCCAACAGCGGGAACATCCGAAGCAGCCGGAACAGGAGCAGGAATCGCGGCAGGGTACGAATGCTGCATCCCTCCCCCACCGCCACCATCACCCCCCATATCCCCCCCGCCACCGCCCGCAGGCGACCCTCCCCCGCCTGCCCCTCCGCCTTCCCCCAGCTGCAGCCCCGCGAGCGCCGCGCGCGCCTTCGCCATGCGCGACTGCAGATCCACCATGAAGTCCTGCTGCTGCTGAAAAGTCGCCGCCTGATTGGCGCGCTTCCACGCGTCGAACTCCGCCAGGTAGTCCGACTGAAGCTTCTGCCCCTCCGCCGTGTTCGCCGCCTGCTTCGACCACGCCAGCGCCGACAGCGCCGCGGCTTGCTGGATATCGCTCCCGCCCTTGGGACCTCCGCCGCCGGGGGAGCTGTCCATGCTCCCCCCGTCCATGGAGAATCGCGACTGCAGGCTGCCGGATCCGCCGCCGCCGGACGCGGGCATGTACGGCTGCATGGGTCCAGAGCCTTGCGGGCTGGAGTCGTTGCTGCCGTACTGGCCTCTCTGCGCCGCTCCTCCCCCCATCATTCCCCCGTATGGCGCGTTCATTCCTCCGCCGCCGCCGCCCCAACCCCCTTGCGGAGCTCCTCCGCGCGCAGGGTACTGCTGGTACTGGCCGTAGGATGCGCCAATGGGAGCTCCGTATCCCCCTCCGCCAGATTCGTCGTACTCGCCGCTTCTTCCTCCTGTGAATTTGATTTGTAAGAACGAGCAAGAGAAAATAGCATGACATTGTTCTTCTTCTCCATTGCCATGAGGTTGTGGAACGGCATGGCCTGCTATGCCCGACGTTTCAATGCTATTATTCGATTCTCCTTTTTCCTCGCCCTGTTAATTTATTCAATCTTCCATTTTATCTATTATCTGCTCATTTTTCTTTTCAGAAATGTACCTTACATGATCCAAAGCAACAGCAAAACTGCCACTGACGCAACGCTTACCTGATTCGTTGAACCCGCCGCTGTAGGTCGGTTCGAGGGAACCCGAGCCTTGGCCAGACCCTCCCGAGCCTGGCATCAGACGTCCCGAGCCAGCAGGACTCCCCGAAGCGGATGACAACGGAGAACCTTCCGACTCCTTATACAGCACAACTTTGTCCTTTTGAATCACAAAAACGGAGAGCCCGTGAGGCTTATAACGAACACAGTACGCTCCGGTACTCGACGACTTGCCCCGCCTGCCAGAAGATCACACGGATCAGCAGCAATTGAGACTCCTCCCAGATACTACTTCCAGGGTGCCTATAAAACAATTGAAAGGCACTCCAAGAAAACTTGGCTCTTGAAAAAAACTTGACAAGTGGTGAAACAATGGGCACGATGCTTACATGCTGAACATTCCTCGCGCATTGGTTCCTAGAACCAGCGTCGTCGCTTTCAGCTTGCTCGACTCTTCCACGATGCCCTTCTCTCTTGAGTTGTTTCGGCCAACCTTCAGCTCTAACTTGATCTGCAGTAACGGACGGACGACCGAAAATGAATAAGCAATCTTAATTTCCCCTTCCGTTTCAGAACCGGGTCATTGTCCAGGAAAACCGCGACTTGTCAAAGAATGGCTGCAGTCACTCGTATCACTACCACGAGAGACATCAGATGCGGTAGCAAACATGCGACACACCTTGGGATCGACGAGCTTCTTCAGAGAGAGCATCATAGGCTGCACGATGGTGCGGACATAATGCACGAACATGGTGTTGTTGACCTCGCTCTGATACATCTCCACCGCTCCTGCAGACAACGACAAGAGACGATTTTGAGTCAGCGCAGTGAGCACGCAGAGACTGTATAACGTCATGTAAGGAGCTTTGAAAGGTATTATGGAGGAATGAGCATGCGGATATGGCACGTATTAACGCTGGCAATGCAGAAGCTTTTGTCAAAATGGATCAAATTGCAATTTTGGAAGCCTTAATGACTGCATTTTGACAAAAGCAGACGCATTAGAATGTTTTTTAATTTGAATGACTTTAATACCTGCAACTTGCCTTCCCGCTCCTCCATAAGCACCCATACCTGATTTGTGAAACAGAAATGCTAGTTAAAAAAGTGCTAGCAAATAGAAATCGCAGACTTACGAAATGTGCACTTGAAAAAAAAAAACATCCAGTTTAGGAGAAATGGAGATGCAACTACTTACTCGGGCTGGGGATCTTAGTGACCACATGGAGCAATATAAGGATGTCGTCTGGACTGCGAACTTTATTCGTAATGGCCCATTTAATGGCTTCTTTACACGATGGGTCCTTACTAACTCCGACAACGACTCTCTCCCCGCCAAACTCAAAGCCGTCACCTGGCGCCATTTCGAGCTCAAGTGGTCACAAGCATCGACACCGCGACCCACGAAAAAAAGAAAGCGAAAAGAAACTACCACTAGAAATCGCTACAGGCGGCGGATAGTACGGAGGGGGACAACCGTATGTTACAGCTGGCTAACTTCCCTGATATTGCGCGAGGGCTGGGTCGAAGGGATCCAAACCCTAGCCACTCCCTTGACAGACCGAGGGAAGCCCTAGGGAAGCAAGTGAGGTGGTGAAGCAGCAAAACCAAGAGGCCCGCGGGAGAGAGGTGAGGGGAGAGTTGTGAGGGGAAGGTTGTGTGTAAGCAGAAGTATGAGGCGGAAAACGGGGACAGCGGGAAGTGGGCGGAAGGCAAGCGGAGCGGAAGGGGAGCGGGAGAAAGGTGGAGGGAAGCTGAAGAAGTGGCAAGGTGGGGCGTGTATTTGTGGATGTGTACATTGCCCCTTGGGGGTCATTCTCACCAACCACTAACAGGGTTCTCCGTGGTTCTGCTGGTTCATAAATGGCTGAGTTGGGTAAATCGACCTGTTTTTGGGTTGCGAAGCAACCCTTTACGATCGATTTTGCCAAATTTTATTTTCATGATTAATTAATTTATGAAAATCATGAAATTAAAATTCGTAAGCTACAGTAATACTCTTCACATACTGTATGCATGTTTAGCAGTTTGGTACTGTTTACAGTGCATTAAATCATGTGATATTTTTGCAGTTGTTAGTGCAGATTTGCTGTACTGGTTGCATGTTTTACTGTTCTATTGTGGTAATGATAAACAGATGCACACTTGATGCATAAATGATGCTATAAGATGCATAATTTTTAATATAATACGTCCATGTTTTACTATTAGATGCTATTATGATAATGATGAATAGATGCATGCTTAATGCATAAATGATGCTATAAGATGCATAATGTACGGTATGAGACGTCTTGATGCATATGTACATATGGTAATAAAATGCGTGACAGTTAACTACCCAAAAACTAAGCTACCGCCATCCCCTGCCTAGCATGGGGGGGAGGTCAATAGCTTGGCTTTTGAATAATCAACAGTCACATGAAACAACACAGTCTGTATATTCTAAAAAAATGGTCAAACCTGTCATATCCAGTTCGAAGTGGTCGCACACGAGTCACTTTGTGCGCCAATGAAGCTTATGTGAAATGATAGACTTGAGCCATCTTTTTAAAATTCACAGACATGCATTGTTATTGCGATGGATGTGGATGAGTGCACGTACACATAGCACACACACACGCACACACATACATACATACAAACGCATATACAACATCACACACATTCACAAAAAAAAAAAAAAAAAAACCTAATGCACAAACTGCAAAACAATAAAACATGTGAACATCAATACAATACAATTTTACAAGTCACCACTACTATCCACTTCACATGAACTCTTCGCTTCGCAGATGTACACATCTGGAAAGAAAGTCAAAGAAAATCTGGAAAAACAAATAGCAACGAATGAAGCAGAGGGAAAGATGGAACCGGGGGGGGAGGAGAAAAGAATTATCAAATCGCGAAGAAAATGGAAAAAGAAAGCAAGGCAGTGAGGAGAAAAGCATAATAACCAAACAGGATGCAAGCTAATGGTGGTGAACATAGATATACATAAAAACAGAGCAAGTAACAAAACCAAAAAAACAGAGCAGGAAACAACGATATCCCTTAGGTGTGAATTTCACAGAGAGAGAGAGAGAGAGAGAGAGAGAGAGAGCGAGAGAGAGAGAGAGAGAGAGAGAGAGAGAGAGAGAGAGAGAGAGAGAGAGAGAGAGAGAGAGAGAGAGAGAGAGAGAGAGAGAGAGAGAGAGAGAGAGAGAGAGAGAGAGAGAGAGAGAGAGAGAGAGAGAGAGAGAGAGAGAGAGAGAGAGAGAGAGAGAGAGAGAGAGAGAGAGAGAGAGAGAGAGAGAGAGAGAGAGAGAGAGAACGAGAGAGAGAGAGAGAGAGAGAGAGAGAGAGAGAGAGAGAGAGAGAGAGAGAGAGAGAGAGAGAGAGAGAGAACGAGAGAGAAGGAACAAGAGAGAGAGAGAGTGAACGAACAAGAGAAGAAAGTAGTAAGGAGATACAAAGTGAGGCGGACAAAGGAAAGAGGTGGGCGGACGAGGCGGAGGGGGACGAGCGAGAAAGTTGGACAAGGAGAGAGACGCCATACGAGAATGAAAAGCAATGAGATTATGAAAGATAATGAATAAACCGACAGAAATCTTAGGCCTAAAGCGACTTCGCGGCAAATAGGAGGATATGACGGTTCTAGATCTAGGAACAACAAAAAGTGAAAATATGCATACGACGTAGAGACGAAAGGCAGAAACGATGAAAAACAAAAGAAATAGATGCTAGATATGCAGTAAGAGACGAAGATATGACCTAAAAAATGTGAGGAAAAAAGGCGAAGTCTTTACAATGGGCCTCTACCCTTAGCTTAAACAAGCCGCATCCTTTAGAAACAGTTAAGACACGAGATTAGGAGATGTTAGTCAATGAAGAACCGGAAAACGGATGCAGGCTTATGGAAAACCTGCAGCTAAATTTTTTGCAGCAAGTTTACAACCTAAGCCTTAAACGACTTTCATCCTTTAGAAGCTACCAACACGAGCAATACTAACATGTCTTAGGCCAACATTCGTCTAGCTCTTAATCGTCTAACTTAATCTACTTGATGGGTTAAGGTAGCTCTCACCTTAGTAGGATAGGAACTCGTTCTGGTAGGTAGAGTCAAACATGAGCGAAGCTCAGCCAGCGAGGGAGAAGAAAAGGGAATAACAAACCCTAAAAAGGTGTCAGATTCGTCGCAAAGCTAATCGACCTACAAAGAACTTCGAGTTGTTTGACATAACAGTGTTGGCGCAATTAGTTGAACTTCGATGTGCTATCGAAAAGTCTCCAGTTCAGTTCCTGCAGACGACACATTTCGAAACCTGACAATAAGGGCGTGTGAGGTCGGTTTTGAAGTTCAAAATAAAGTGCGAACTTTGGGTGGTTACCCGTTTCGCCAATATCGCATGGAGCTATTAGCGAAAATTCGTCAACTTTGGGTTTGGTAATATGCGAACTGCAAACTTGAACAAGACTCGAGTTTTAGTTGTGAACGTGCTTCGGCATGTTCACATTCACGTGTGTGATTTCCCGCACGTTCAGTCATCGGGCGAAATGTGCGAGCGACTCACGAGTAGCAACAGTGGCACAACGAACTCACCACAGCCTTCGTGTACTGAATAGAGGCCACGTGGCGAGAATCGTCATGTTTGGGGAATGACGAGAGCTCCAGGTGGGCAACCTCTGATATTTGTACCCCAGTGTTGAAGGTGAGCTGGAGGTCTAGGCTATCCGAAACCGAGGCGCACGTCGGCCGCGTGGCGCACTGTCAAGACGTCTGAACCGGGTAACCTACGTTGTAGAAATGCGGCTCGGTGCGATTTTACAAGTTCGAATACGCGCACTCGACCTTGTATGTGTGTGTGCTTTTCTGCAGTGTTGTGGTCCAGATGTGCGAACCCCGATACAAAGGAAGTCGAGATTGATTCGACTTATGTTCACTTCGCACAACTCGCCCAAAAAATGTAAACTTTCACGAATTTCACGGATCACACGCGCCCTAAGGGCGTGTGAGGTCGGATTTGAAATTCAAAAAAAAGTGCGAACTTTGTGTGGTTACCAGTTTCGCCAATGTCGCATAAAGCTACGAGCGAAACTTCGTCAACTTTGGGTTTGGCAACATGCGAACTGCAAACTTGAACAAGACTCGAGTTTTAGTTGTGAACGTGCTTCGGCATGTTCACATTCACGTGTGTGATTTCCCGCACGTTCGAGCATCTGGCGAAATGTGCGAGCGACTCACGAGTAGCAACAGTTTCACAACGAACTCACCACAGCCTTCGTGTACTGAATAGAGACCACGTGGCGATAATCGGGTAACCTACTTTTTAGAACCGGGTAACCTACTTTGTAGAAATGCGGTTCGGTGCGTTTTTACAAGTTCGAATACGCGCACTCGACCTTGTATATGTGTGTGCTTTTCTGCAGTGTTGTGGTCCAGATGTGCGAACCCCGATACAATGAAAGTCGAGTTTGGTTCGACATATGTTCATGTAGCACAACTCGCCCTTAAAATGTAAACTTTCACAAATTCCACCGATCACACGCGCCCTAACACGCACAATTCTTACGTTTTTTTTCACGACGCTACAGAATATCAGAGGATTTAGCGCAGACGGTATAAGATGAAAAACTATTTGAAAGGTTTCAGATTCGATTCCTGTTGTACCACGGAAGGATACTTTTGCGCGAAATTGCAGACGTAAAATACACTTGTTTGTCGATATCGTCACGCAAACAATCCAAACGCCTTCTGACGTCAAAGTATAAACGCCTTCTGACGTTAAAGTATAAAAACATTTTGATTTTAAAATCAAATAATATGAACATAACAAGAATAACCAAACACAAATAAGTTCTCAAGAAGCACATATTTTATACATTGTGAAACAACCAAATCTGTACTCTAAATGACCACAGCGATTCAGTTATATAATCATATATTATATGTCATGTGTTTCTATAAATGGAAGTGTAATTCATTAAAAAATAAAAAACATGTTACAACCTGTTGCTTCGCAACCCTAAGACGATTTAGTCGCCTCTTGTTTTTTTTTTTTTTTTTAATGGAAACCTCGCATCATGGATATGCGCACACAAGGGTAGTGGCGCTTGGGGCAAGCGAAGCTGACCTTGAAGTTGACGAACCCAAATCTGCAGCTTAAGGGCGTGTTAAATCGCAAACACCAATTTGGGATACAAAATCCGTCGGGCCTAATTTGCGAAAGTAACCCGCTTGCGAGATTCGCAAATCATGCACGACTATCGCGAATTTCGCAAAAAAAAAAAAAAATACATTTGAGGGCCGTTTAATCACGACGTCGTGAAAACGACGCCGCGACGTCCGCAACACAGCCACGAAAACGGCCCGTCGTTGCGACAAAACTGTGCGGCGTCGCAAATCCTGTTGACCGTCGCATCAATGACACGAAGCGCATCCCAACCACCAAACCCCAACACGAAACACATCTCCCCGCCTACATGCCACATTTCGTGCGCGACTCGGAGTGAGCACATGCGGCCCGCCAAACCACAACCCGCACATGAGAATCGGTACACATCGTCCAACGCAGCACACACTAGAAAATCACCACGACAAATAGCCACAACACATTGAGAACCACATAAATCTCCATCCATGGCGTCGCCTACAGGAAACGACGACCCTTCAAACCACTGCAGTCAGAGCAACCAGGTAGACCACCCCGACACACAAGCCTCAAACAACGACCCTCAACCCCCCTCTATCCCGACTGAAGGCGAGCCTTCCTCTCGCCGAATCAATCCTTAGGAGAGGCCTGCTAGTTGGTGGGTTAACCACCTGCCGCGCACGGATGACCCTTACGACCCCACCGACGACTACGGCGTTGGGGAAGAAGCGCCAGAAGTATGTTCTGCTGTCGACGATGAGGAGTTAGACCCAAATATTGGGCGCACCAACGTCGAGTCGACCGGGACCGCTAGCACATCGGCGTCGCGGCCAACAAATACCATGCCACGGTGGAGCAAGGAGGACGAAATGCTCCTCATGCAGGAGCGATTCGACATGCGAGACCAATGGTCGGGGATGCGCGGCATCTAGGGTCAGAGCCAATTCGTCGCCCTCCACCGCAACATCCTCGCCCGCAACCCCCGCTGGCGTCATGGCGTCAATGCGTTGCGGCCGAAACTGCGTCGCATGGAGGCGGCCTGGCTTCGATGGAGGCCACTCTGGGAACGGTCTGGACGGGGCATCCCTGAAGGTGCTCCGCTGTGGTATGAGATGGGAGATGAGCTCTGGCGCAGCCGTGAGACGGTACGCCCAACAACAACCGTCGAGAGTGGACCCGATCCAGATGACACACCCATGACGACCGCGCCGCATGCGGATATCGTCACCACACCGGCCGCCAACACCGAACCTACTGTGGAAGGCGGCGCGGCGGTCGTCGCCGAAGGCGGACAGTCATCCGCGCCCGCCTCCTCAGTTCCGGCGCCGCTCTCCACCGCTCCCTCGACCAGTGGCCCGCAATCTATCACTCCACCCACGCAGGTGGTTGGGGGCGTGAACATCAACGGTGCAACTACTCCCGTTTCAGCCTCGCTTACTCCGAACTACGGTGTGTTATACCTTGTGCATCCAGGCCTCACAGTCAATATGACGAATATTTTCCGCTCAATGTTCTAGCCGACATCGTTTTTTGCTTTCATTTTTATTTTAAACTTTATGAATTAGTCACAACATCCACTACGTGCCGCACCCAACGCCCATTGCACAGATCGCTACTTGCTACAGTCCGCACTAGCAGCATTGCCGACAGCCACGCACGGAAACGCAGGCTCCCTTGACCGGACTCCTGGCCCCTCGGTCGCCAAGCCCGCGGCATCGACGCCCACTCTCCGAAAGCGTCAGAAGTACGCCCGTCCCCGCAAAGCAGCATCCGCGCTTTCGCCCGCTCGTGGCGGCTCACTTCGCGGTGGTCGTACGACGGCGAGGGCGGGACCTGCGTCTGCACAAGACGACGAGGACTCTGACGACTCCGATGAGGAACACTCTAGGCCGCGTAACAGAAGGCAATCGAAGCGTGGTTGGGTGCGTGACGTTGTGCGCGAAATGACCAAGGAGCTAACTAGCGTGGTGCAAACCACAATGACTTAAATGTTCGAACGTACCCGAGAAGCGGACGAGTCAGCTCAGGATGACCAAGACGCCACGAGGCGTAAAGGTAAGCGCAAAAGCGATTCCGGCGATGAACGGGAGTGAAGCCGGCTACCTCCCGTCCCGTGTGCTCAAGGTTGGCTGCCGGACCGCGGAGCCACCACCGGTTGCGGGGCCATGCCGACTCCATGCGGTAGCGGGCGCCGAGGATGAGCTCAATGTTGTGCAGGGTCACCACAGCGGCGATGGTGGCGGGGACGTGACGCCGGTGGCACTCCATGCGGCCGTCAAGAATCCGCCACTTGGTCTTGAGGCGGCCATTAACCTGCTCCACAATCATGCGTGCCCTTGATTGTTGCTTGTTCCAAACGGCTTGCGCGTCGGGAAGGAGTTGGCCGGGGGTAGCTCTGTAGCGTACGTAGGTGTAGTCTTTTAGGCCATAAGCGGCATCGCATACAATGACGCGATTGCCAATGCCGCCTGCCTCAATCCTTTGTTTTGCTTTGGAGTTGTTAAAAACCTTTGCATCATTAACCGAACCGGGCCACCCGGCAAGAAAGCTAAACACCAGGCCGTTGGCGTCGACGAGCAACTGCAGGATGACGCTGAAAAATCCCTTGCGATTCTTAAACTCCTCGGCATGCGGACCCCATCCACGGGTGTGGATGTACGTCCCGTCCATTGCGCCAACGATCCCGGGTATCCCGCTGTCGAAGCGGAAGTTATCATCAGCCATATCCATGTCGTCCTCGTCAGGCCAACGGACCCACTCATCCCAAAGGTACTCCTCATTGAACTGAATCCAGGCCTTCACGATTTGGAAGACACGGACGTGGCTGAAACCGAATAACATGCCAAGTTCGCGGTATGTCATGCCGCTTCCGAACCTGACGAGCACCATGGCGACATGCAGAGCCACATTGCACGCTCGCTTCCCAGTGTGAATGAGGTGTGTTGCCCACACGTGGCATAGGTACCGGAAGTCTTGGCGGTCTACGCGGAGGGCATCGTAGAGGTGTTCTGGCGAGAGGTGCAGGAAACGGTCAATCCATCTTGCCCTCTGGATGGTCCGGTCCCTGCGCCAAAACATTTTGTACTCCTCATCGTCAGCGAAGTCAACGAGGACTGGGAGCAGGAGGCTGACGGTGGTGATCCAGGGAACTAGAACACTCTGTACAACTCCGTCGGCGAGGGTTCTGGTGGCTCGTGGACTGAAGTGAGTGGCCATTGTTCTGAGTTTGTTTCAATGGGGGGACGGGTTTATACAGGTATTTGCTGGGGTGGATTGGGATGGGGTTTTGTTCCAGCATGGTGTGTTGTGGGAGTGTGAATGGAGCCGCGCAACCCTTCTTGACTGTCCATTCACATGGCAACCCATTGGTTGTTGCCAAAGCTGTGTCAATCGTGCGACACCGTCGCACGATTCGGCCTCTTCTGATTTAACACTTGGGACGAGCCGGCCTGTAATTCGGCCTCTGGGATGTTAAATCTTCGAAACTGTAAGTTTAGGCTGTAAATGAGTCGTCCCCGAAACGGCCAGTACGACGACTTTCGCGAAAAATACGACGACCAATTGGTCGTCGCAAATTCGGCCAAACCCCAATTTCCAAAGTAGCGGAAATTTAACACGCCCTAACGAACAACGGAATGGCGAAACAGGTAACGTGTTCACATGTGTTAGTCAGTCCATTCTATTTGAACCACACATAAGATTGTTTCGTTGTACTGTACGCTCGCCAAACAAGCTGCTTCGTTTTCCAATTAAAAATAAACGAATCAGCGCCTATCCAACCAATTTTTACATCTGCGCGTGGCGTTTGGGGCTGGGTTGAGCAGCAGTCCAGCTGGCTAGACGAAAGTATTGTCCGTTTATGGAAAAGGACCATTTTCACATATCCCGCAGTGTTCACTTCCCCCAGCCATTTTCTAACGTCACGTCACCGCCAGTGTCACCCTCGATACGTACGGTGTGCCGTGTATTGGGAACCTTTCCAGATCGGAGTCGCGAACCAAGTTCACCCTGCCACGGCAGGGTGTTCGATGATGCTTAGGAGAAAATGAAAGGATCGTTCTCTACAATTTTTCCAACTGAAAGGAACTTCCTTTTGCGAGCGAACCAGCAATTCTGGGACATACAGTAGGCTTTTGCGCAACTGAATAAAGGCAGGCAGTTAACCAAGCCTTGTGAGGGATCCTTTTCTCAGTTGGGCGAATGCAGCTGTTCTTTTGTCGCACATGTGAGAGTAGCAAATTTCGAAAAAGAAAATCCCAAACGGATAGTTCACCCACCATTTTCTTTTGTATGTCTGCAAGGTTGTTGCTTCGGTGAGGTTCCCACTGTTGTTCACACACTCTTCCAGGCCGAATCCCAACCCGGTAAAGTGGTAACAGAGCGGTGCAGTTGGCATGTCCGTTTTCACGGGGTATTGCAAAACTCACTCTGAAAGAGAATGGGTAAACAGTTCAAGCGGTCCCGAGTTTTAAATCCCGCACGTCACTCCAGTTGAGGCGAGCCTGGCCGTTAGCGAAACCTGCCTGTCATGTATTGGGCGGGGTCCAGGTAACTGACCAGTCTAGGCATGCCATGTCAGCGAACCGCGAATCCTTTGTGCGAGCCGCATTTCTGGTTTTACCGTGTCGCCCCATCGGATTTGCACGTAGGAAATTGCACATCCCTTCGAAAATGTGACATGTGATGAGATGAGATTGTAGGGAGCTCTGGTTTGTGAAGAGCCCTTGGACATGGCAGCAGTCTCACTGCAGCACAGCACGAGTTTGTTTGCACAGGCGTGGTTGTTTGCTGCTGTTGATCTTGTTCTGTACGGCTGCAAGCGAACAGTACTGTACTCCGATCCGACGCAGTTGCTTGCTTTCAGCCCTTGCGGTGAGGAGACGAGGAGAGTCTCCGGGCTGGACACGACACGGAGCGAAGAACCAGGTGCTGCACACACACACCCAACGTGCTTGTTCGCTTGCTGTTGGTGGTATATGGTATATGTGCTTGTTCCGTCTTAGCAGTTTTGGCCCAACCCAGCCCGCTCCCGCCTTTTCCTTACCCCCAATCCCCGGCTGTACTTTCCCTCGATACAATCCCACATCCCTGTTTCTGCCTCCTAGTCGAAACGAGCCTAGTCCTGTTTGTGACCCTCGTGCCGCCATCCCGCACATTTGCCAAGGGACCTAAGAGGCACGAAAGCATCACCCGCCACTTTACCGCTGCTAAGTCACTCTGTTCCGTGCTATCCAAATTTGAGTGTGCTTGAAACTAGCGAACCCACTAGCGGAGCGGAGAAGTAGGCCCACACAAGGACATGCCGCGAGGTTGCTGCTGTCTATCACTTAAAACTTAGGTCTGGTGCCGCTGATTTCTTTACTCGCAACTTGCTTCAGGGGTGTAGTCTAATAAGCTAATCAACGCGGCATAACTTGCACGCAGTCACTGCCCGGACACGCATCGTTAGTTGTCTCCTACAGCATCACGTATAGCAACGTTATTCGTGCGTGGTTGGTTCTTCCGACCATGGCATTGTGCTCTTCGACTGCCCATCCAGTGGCGTTCTGACCAGATTCTTTTAACTCCTGATCTCCTGGGCTTCTTATCGCAACGACGAAGCGTAATAGTGGCTGGCGCTTCGGGCCGGACGCGCGCAAACATGGCTGTAGGAACAGTTTATCCGGAACAGGACAGATTAGACCGAAACGAGCCAGCCAATGCCATCGTGCCACCTGGAAGCCCCAGCTTGAGCGCAATCGCGGCGACGGCGGCGTCTCTAACCACTGACTCGTACAGCATCCTTGCCAGCGCGGATCTGACGTCAGCGCTCTCCCTGGCCCAACACGTGGCACGCCTGACCGCGACTCCGCACCTCTACGTGCATCGCAGCAGCGTCGAGAAAGTCGCGGTGTGCGTGCGACAGCTGCTGCCGACCCTCCATCTTCTGAAAAACTCCGCCGCGTCGCTCTCCTTCGATCCGCGCTCCGCGTTCGTTCTCCGCCGCCTCGCGTCGGAACTGAAAGACGTCATCGCGTTACTCAAGGCGTGCAAGCTGACTATACCGGGGATGTTTTTCAGCCTGGGGCATCATCATAAGGGGCTGGCGCGCAAAGCAGACGCGTGCGTGACAGAGATTCGCCATTGTCACACCGTCTGCTCGATGCTGCTGGGACAGGCCTCCTCTACGACCAATGCCAAAATCGCCGCCGATCATGGGCCGCTGTCGACCTCGTTAGTGTCACAAGCGCCACCGCCGACGCCGCAAAACCACTTCCAGTTACGAACCGTCTCATGCAGTCATACTAGCGGGTCAAGCAAGGAACCTTCCACTTTCCTGGACTCGTACAGCGGGAGCGGTATCACTGGCGGAAGCGGAACCTCGGTGATGTTCCCCGGCGGCGGGGGAGCGGAACAGCCCGCGCGGGTGCTGCAGCAGGTGGCGGAAATGTTTCCCCAGAGCCCCATGATTGGCCCTTTCGCCGCTACTTTCTCCGCCAAAGACTCCGCAAGGCCCCCCGGGATGATGACGTGGCAGCAGATGCAGGTTCGCGGGATCCCCCCGAGGTCGATCTCCGCCTCCGCCGCCTCCGGGTTTGGCGCGTCGCCAGCGGGGGGACTATACGGGCGGGGCGGGTCCGCGGGGCGGCAACGACCGGGAGTGTTAACGGGAGCGCCGCCGTTGGCGCTACTTGGCGGGGAGCGGAGGGAGCGCGATAGCAGCGCGGCAGATGCTGCGGCCTCCGCGGCACTCGCCTTGATAGGAGCTAACGGCAGCGGCGCCGCCGGCGGCGGAGGCGGCGGTGGTGTAGGGAGCCGTTTCGCGGGCCCTGGCCGAACCTACACCGTATCGTCCGCTTCCTCCGGCAGAATACAGCCGTACTACGGCTCGATCGCCGTGTCGCCTCGTCCGCTCAGCCCCGCAACCGCCGCCGCCGCCGCCGCTGCCGCCGCGTTCGCCGCGCCGAGGTTGTTCTCCCCGCGGCGGCCCCGCGCGTCGTCCCCGCTGCCATCCGCGCTCAACCGGTCGAGCATCTCTGCCACCGCTGCGGCGAGCGCGAACGTGTGCCGGCTCGTGGACGCACTGGCGGAAGGATCGGCGGAAGAGAAGCGCGCGGCGCTGGCTTCGCTAATGGACGTGACTGTAACGGATGAGGGGAAGCTCCAAGCCGCGGCGGCGGGGGTGGTGCCGGTTCTGTCGGTGCTGCTGTCGTTGCCTGAAGACGACTTCCTATTGGACGACGAGTCGGCGTTACCCAGTTGCGTGGACGACGATGATTGGCTCCAAGGAGGGGGGGTGCTCTCCGCCGGAGGAAGCGGAGGGGGAAGCGGAGGTGGGAGCGGAGGGGGGAGCGCAGGTAGCCGGGGGACGGGGAAAACAGGCGGGAGCAGCGGGGGTGGGGAACGGGGAAAACCGGGGGGGATAAGTTGCGGAAGGGGCGCGGTGGCGGCGTTGCTTCCGCTTCCGCCGCTTCCGGAGCCCCCTCCACGCGAATCGCTGAACCTTCTCGTGGCGCGCGCTTTGGTGCAGCTCTCCGCGCTTCCTGCTAACTGCCAGGTCATCGCCAAGGCGGGGTGCGTGCCGTCGCTAATCGCCATGCTTCGCGGCGGCAACCCCGAGGCGCAGGCGGTCGCGGTAAACCTTCTGCTGAACCTTGCGACGGGCTGCGACAGCGACTGCGACAGCAAATCGCCCGCGATCGCCGCAGGCGAGGCGATCCCGTCGCTCGTCGCCATCGTCCAATCAGCGAGCGAGGCGAAAGTCCGGCGACAGGCGATGGAGGCCCTCGCACACGTCGTCTCGAAGGCCAAGGAGAACCAGGACGCGGCGGCGCGAGCCGGCGCGATCCCGATATTAACAGAAGCGTTACGAGAAGGCTCGCTGCTGGTACAGGAAAAAGCGGCGTTCGCGCTGGGCTCGATCGCGGAGGATAACGACGAAAATAAAGTAATGATTGCTGGGACGGGGTCCGTGCCGCCGCTGCTAGATCTCCTCCTGTGCGGGCCGGCAGATATCAGCCTGCAGGAGCGCGTTTCGCGGCGGGCGGCGTGGGCGTTGTTTGCGCTGAGCTCGCATCGGTTGTCCGCTTCGTACATTGTCGCATCTGGTGGGTTGGATGTTGTGAAACGCGCGGACGTGGATGGGCCGTTGGATACGAAGGAATGGACGGCGAAGATCATCCCCCTTCTGGAGCCAGTAGCGGAGCAGCACCAGCAGGAGCAGCAGCAGGCGGCGTGGCAGCAGAAGTGGACGAATCAGCGCCGGGGGAAAGTTGAAACGGCCCTGCGAAAGTCGTACGATGACGTGGCATTGTTTCAGGAGGGGCAGCGTCGGAATGGGCAGAAACCGTCCAGGTTAAGTGAACAGGGATGTAGCCGTGCAGAGGAGTCAGAGGAAACGGGCAAGGAGGAGGAGGAGGACGGGCAGATGAGGAAACAGTTGCAGGAGGATGGGCAGGTGGAAGAGAAAGAATACAAGGTGGAATCAAAAGATAAGGTGGACTGGGAAGAAAGGTGTACACGGGATGTTGAGGCAGCGACAGATAAGGTCACGACAAGTCTTGATTTTGGAAAAAAATCCAAGGGTGAGCGGCAGGCGACGGAGAAAGAACATTCAGAGAAAGAGCAGACACAACTGCAGAAGCACAAGCAGGAGGGACAGCTGGAGCAGAAGCAGCAACACCACAGGAAGCAGCAGCAGCAACATCAGCAGCAGCAGCTGCAGAAACGACCAATGTGGCAGTTCAGTGTTCATCCTTCCACAAGCCCTGGTGGAAACTTGAGGCAGCTCTGCAAGCAGAAGCAGCAATCACCGCAGCAGCAGCAGCAGCAACAAAGCAAGTCGGCCAGCAATGTCAGGTGAGCATCGCAGCAAGGCCGATTCTGTGCAGAACAAGCAAACATTCAGAGTCCCCTCGTTCTACTTGGAATCATAACCAGCTCGCACATCTGTATGCCATGACTGGCCTAAGGCTGTTTTTCCACTACAAGTAGTGCAGTAATGGTTTGCATCCTATGATACTCATGCTTGATTTCCGTTCCCAGGCCTTGCAGGGCTCACAAGCAGGAATCGTGACATGGGTGATACATCAATCTAACAACTTACCCATGTACTGTGTGTCGTCCAAAGGAGAGAAGCTCTTTGACTGACCTATGGCCATTCGCTATCTTTTGATAACCTAACTAGGATTTTCTCTTGTTAGTCAAAACATGTCTCCTTTTGCATGGTTGCTTACTTTGACTAACTTTGTTTAATGCTTTGCTCAAATCGTCCATATTTTTATCGTGGTGGCTAGCATGGCGCAGACACTTCGCTTGTGATGGCTTCGCGTAACGAGCAATACACAAATGAACCAACCCGTGCGGCATGTCTGGGCTGGGCTCGCTCAGCTGCGCCTTCGGGCTCAACTGTGCGCCTCCTTGTCTTTCAAACTTTGGGGCAGTACAGTAACAGCGGATTTGGCGGAACGCACGTTGTCGTTGGATGGTGGTTGGTTGAGAACAGCATTGCACGGGTTGTACACGACGACCCTGGCGATGACCTTGTAACGGGTCACCCGTTAAGGATACTATTATCCGTGACGCACTAGTTTCCGGTGTGCTGGTTGTGTGTACAGTACATGCAATTGGGTACAGTAACGGCAGGTGAACGGAAGACGCGACGAAGTTGTTCTGGCGAGGTACGGTGGTGCTGGTGTGAGGAGGGAGGTCCAGAGAAAGTGTAACCAGAGCGGGCAGTTTTACCTGCGTCGTGTTTTGTCGCTGACAAACAAACCCGTAACCGTTGCAAGTAACGCCGCTTACTTGCAGATGGGGGATGGGAAATTTTGTATCACACCGCTTGCGAAATTTTAGACTTCTGTACCCAGAAATGTTGGGTGAATATCTCCATCACAATCCTTCCGCTTCCGTCATTTCATGCTGAGGGATGGCCGAACCGTGCCGCTTCATCCTGCCTTTGAAGCCAGCCTCCTCTCAGCCTGTGCGCACGAGGAGGAACTCCAGTGTCTGCTTGTCCTGTTCTTCAGCCTGTGTTCCTTTCTTGGCTGGAAAACATCACTGAGAGAGACTCATAGGTGGTAGGGGGACGTCTCCACACAAGCTTGCATCAGCAACCCCGCTTGTTAGCTCGCGGTGGAAGTGTGATTGTTCGCGTGGGGCGATAATAGACAGCGAATGCGTGTACACGGTCCCGTCAATTAGCGTGAACGTCTTGTTTCCACAGATTCCTCACATCCTTTTCTTTTTATCGCTCGGCGATAAGTTATTTCGACGCCTGGGTGAACCTCGATGCACAGTGAGACGCCGTTTGAGTTTCCCCAAGAAGCGCGACGAGCACCGGTGCTCCGTAACAAAACACCAAGTTTTTTTTTTCCAAGGATTGCTCTTAGTATCCCTCGATGCTGGTTTCGTGATGACGATTAATCAAGTAATGGCGCGTAGACACGACGAGTCTCTTCATGAATTATCGGATAGTAACGGCGCTGACTGTAATGACGGAAACGTCCGTCTTCCTAAAGCTGTATAAATCCTGCGCTGGTAGCCATTATTGTCTCGTTCTGAGAGCTCGCCACGTGGATACAGATCAGCACGTTCTGGACTCGCCACGTGGATACGGATCAGCACATTCTGCTCCCGCCATTCGACGTTTCTGTAGGATTCGTGATACTTTCAGAGTCAGTTCAGGCATCGACCTTCGCGGTCTAGCCGTTGCGAGTCAGTTCAGGCATCGATCTAGCAGGTTTTGCAGAGCCATGACGATAGTGTTACCCGCGAAAGTCTCCGCCATAGCTCTCAGCGCAAGCGGCGCTCCACCGCCCAATCTCTCTCCCCGCGATTCACGGCGGCAACAGCCTTCAAGTTACCGTTGCTTTCGCCGGCCGCATTTTCCGGAGCACCTGGCACGCCTGATGGTACCGTTGCTGCTGCTGCTCGCACTGGGAGCCGGTTTAGTGGAAGGTACGAGGCGCCAAGAGCTTCGGTTAAAGACTAATACATGGAATCGTCCCAAACCATACCATTCCATCTTCAGAGTTCAAGACCGTTATGGAAAGATTCCGGTTTCAGGGTCGACTGCTAGTCTGTCTACAGATATTCCCTTTCTTGTTATCCCCTTCTCACCCTTGCCATCCATCCACTTTCACCCTCAGCCTCTCCCATTCCCTCGCTTTGCCTCCCTCCCTTTCCCTCCCTTTGCCTCTCTCCCCACCCCTCGTTCCCGCCCTTCCCATCCCTTTCCTCTCCCCTCCCTCCCTTTCTTTTCATTCCCCTGCACCCGCCCTCCCCACCCTTTCCCTCCCCAACGCACTCCCCCGTCCCTCTTTCCGTCCCTCTCCTCCACTGCTTCGCACCCCTTCCCACGCCTTCCTACGCCTTCCTACCAGCCGCGTGCCCGCTGCTGCCAGAGGTGCATGTGGACGCGGCAGCAAGCAGCCAGGCCGGTCAATGCTGTGGGGACCCCGGAAATCCCTGTGGTGAGTTTTTTTTCAAAATCTAAAAGTGGCACAAGCATAACCGCTCCTGCCAGAGGTGCATGTGGACGCGGCAGCCAGAAGCCAGCCTGCGCAATGCTGTGGGGACCCCGGCAATCCCTGTGGTGAACTGCTGGAGAGTTTTCTAGAATACCTTGCAATTTGTCCGTGAACTGTGGTCCATGACCCTCCGTTTTCTCCGTTCAACCCCCACTTTCTTGCTTTCTTGAATTCACTTTTGACACTTTCGTAAAACTGAATCTTGCTCTCTTTCGCTCCGTTCTCACACTGACCTGTCTTCCTTCCGTGCCCTTCCCTTGTCACATGCCTTGTGTTCCCTGCCTTGCGTCCACCCAATGCTTTTCAGCCACAATCGAACAGGCTCTTACAGTGTAAGTCCTCTCTCTCTGTCTCCAAGTCTCCGCTCCCTCCTTTCTCCCTTGCTTCCCTGATTCCCTAACTCCTCCTTCCCTCTCTCTGCCCCTCCCTCCATTCGCTCTTCCATCCTCCCGTCCCTCCATTCGCCCTTATGAATTCATTCACTGCCCCATACTTACTACACCACTCTCGCTTTTCCCCACATTCACTCCAAAGTTCCTGTCCCCGCCACCTCAACCTTTCACCCCTCCACTCTCCCTTCTCTTCCCCCACCAACCCACCAGCCAGCCCCACACAGGTGCCACCATCCTGCTATCCCCAGGCACTCAATCTGTCCCTCCCCTCGGCCTGCAGCTGGGGGGTCTTCCCCTCACCATCACTACTGCCTCACTTCCCCCATCCCCTACCCCATCCCCTCCCCCATCCCCTACCCCATACCTTTCCCCATCCCCTTACCAACCCCACCCCACCAGTATTCCCCTCACAGGCGGCACCATCCTGCTGTCCCCCGGCACTCACTCTGTCCCTCCCCAGGGGCTGCAGCTGGGGGGTCGTCCCCTCACCATCGCTGCTGCTGCTGGTGGCAATTCTGACCCTTTGTCTTCCCTGCCGGTGATCCAGTGTCAGAGGGGCAGCAGCAGCAGCAGCAGCAGCGTGTCATGCTTAACTGCCATCTGTGCAGGGGGAGCAGGGGGAGCAGCGGGAGCAGGGGGAGCAGCAGGGGGGGCAGCAGGGGGCGGGAGCATGTGCAGTGAGGAGCAGGCGAAGCTGGTGCTGCGGGGAGTGGTAGTGGCCAATGGCAGGGCAGATATAACCACAGATACCACCACCAGCAGCAGCGGGGCCACTGGCACGAGCAGTGGCACCGGCAGCACCAGTGCCAGTGGTGCGGGCAGTGGGGGCTGTCTGTTAGTACAGGGGCAGGCTCTGGAGGTGACAAACTCCTCGTTCCTCAACTGCACTGCTGCTGACGGTGGTGGTGCAATCTTTGCCGCTGCTGCTCCTAATGTGACTATTACCAGCTCTCGTTTTGAAGGCTGTAAAGCTCTTGGTGGGGTCCCTACTGCTGCTGCTGCTGGTGCTGCTGCTGCTGCTGGTGGTGGTGCTGCTGCTGCTGCTGGCGCAGCTGAAACTATTGGCAAGGGAGGAGGAGCCGTTGCTCTGTACAATGTCGCCCACGTGGCGGTCTCTGATTCGTCCGTTCTTGACTGCACCTCCTCCTCCACCAATGGCGGCGGCCTTGCCATCGTCTCCTCCAATGCCGCGCTGACAGCTGTCCGCTTCTCGGGCTGCTACGCGCAGGGCCTAGGCGGCGCGGTTTCGTCTTCTTCCTCCAACGTGACTGTAACGAGTTGTGAATTCCGCGACTCGCGGGCCATGCGGGGAGGATGCTTCTCGGACGATTCCTCCCCGCTCGTCTCCATCTCCTCCTCCTCCTTCCTCCGATGCAACGCGGATGTGACCAAAGAAGGGGATATCTACAGCAAGGTGAACGGTGGGGGGGTGGCTCTGAACGCAACTGCCTCTTTCACCATCCACAACTGCACCTTCTCCCGTTGCCTCGCTGTTATGGATGGCGGTGGGCTCGACGCTCTAGACTCCGGAAACCTCACTATAAGCTCCTCCACTTTCCGCTTGTGCTCCGCGTACGATAACACTGGCGGCGGCGGGGGAGCGGTGTCGTCCCGAGGCGGGAACATCACCATTCGGGGGAGTCTGATGGAGAAGAATTGGGTGAATAGCAGCATGGTTGGCTTTGGGGGAGCCATGGCTATTATGGATACGGCTATGGGGATTTTTAACTCGACTTTCCGGGAGAATATAGCGTACGGGCATTTGTACGGGACGCTGAGTCAGGGAGGGGTGATAAACCAGCAGTGGACGAGGAGAGATGTGGTGATTCCGCTGGTGATGGAGGAGTGTGCGTTTGAGAGGAATGTGGCGGATTTTGGAGCGGTGGGGTACTTTGAGGGGCATGTGACTGTGAGGCGGTCGCGGCATGAGCGGAACGAGGCGCAGTTTCGATACGGCGGCGCGTGTGAGTATATGGGGGGGTGTGGGGGGGTTGTGAGGGTGAGAAGATGTGTTTGCTTGCATGCAATGGGGAGCAGTGGGGTACTTCTTGACCCCTCTGGACCCCTCTGGACCCCTTCCCCCCTCCCTCCCAGACTACGCCATGATGAGCACGGCCGTAGAGGATTCTCTCTTCGCACACAACACAGTGCTGCAGGACGGGGGAGCAATTGCCACAGCCTTCACTCCTTCCCATGCTTCCATGCACCGCTCTGAACCACCTCATATCCCACATATTCCCCCTGCCTTCCCCCTCCAGACTACGCCATGATGAGCGCGACCGTAGAGGATTCTCTCTTCGCACACAACACAGTGCTGCAGGATGGGGGTGCGATCGCCACAGCCTTCACTCCTTCAAACTCCCGTGCACCACCCTGAACCCCTGTCTTCTCCCTCCCTCGCAGACTACGCCATGATGAGCACCACAATAGAGGATTCTCTCTTCGCTCACAACACAGTGCTGCAGGACGGCGGGGCGATCGCCACAGTGGGGCTGCTGGCCACGGTGGTGCGGGGGTGCGTCTTTCGCAACAACAGTGCCATCTCTGGGGAGGGAGGAGCCATATTTGTGTTCGATGTGAGTCAACCGAGTCAATGGGGATGGGGTTGCTGTGCACGGTGGTGCGGGGGTCCGTGTTTCGCAACAACACCGCCATCTCCGGGGAGGGAGGGGCCATCTTTGTCTTCGATGTGAGTCAACCAAGTCAAACCCTTGAGTTGATTCAGTCGATTGGGTCAAATGAGCCAAGGAGGGCCGGGCCTAATGGCCACGGTGGTGCGGCGGTGCGTGTTTCGCAACAACACCGCCGTCTCTGGGGAGGGCGGGGCAATCTTTGTGTTCGATGTGAGTCAACCGAGTCAACCGAGTCAAATGAGTCGTGCGATTATGATTATGTGTCTCTGGGAAGTCGAGGTACTCAGATTTAGTAAGAATCTGAATAAATCTGGGAGTCGCTTTGAGGGCAACACAACACAGCCCCGGCATCCAAGGGGGGAGCGCTCTCTGCTGCGTGTGCCCGCTTGACCATCGCCCACACCACCTTCCACCGCAACCATACTCCCTTCTCTTCTCTCCTCCCTCCTCTCTGCCCTCTCCCTTCTCCCTTCTCCCTTCTCCCTCCTCCCTCCTCTCTCCTCTCTCCTCTCGCCTCTCGCCTCTCTCCTCTCTCCTCATCCACACAACAGGGCACGGAGGGAGTAGTGGAGGTGGAGGGGAGTCGCTTTGAGGGCAACACAGCCCCGGCATCCAAGGGGGGAGCCATCTCTGCTGCCTCTGCTCGCCTCACCATTGCCCACACCACCTTCCACAACAACCATGCGCTCGTGAAGGGCGGCGCTGTTGCAGGTGGGTTGGAGTTGAGTTGGACCGTTGAACGGCATGCCATCACATGCCATCACATGCCATCACATGCCATCACATGCCATCACATGCCATCACATGCCATCACATGCCATCACATGCCATCACATGCCATTGTTAGTTCATTCCTCTCCTTCCCAGCCTTTGAATCCCAAGTCTCCCACGTGTCCCTCCGTTGCTTCCTCCCTCACGTGCTCCCTGTCTCCCCTCCGGCAGTTTCCCACCCACCTTCTCCTCCCGCCGACAGCAACACCACCGCCGACACCTCTCCGGCTCTCCCCATGGCGCACTTCTCCAACGTAACCTTTGAGGGCAACAGCGCCACGCTGGGCGGAGCAGCGGTGCATCTGGGCATGGCGGCGCGCGCTGCACTCATGGGGTGCCGCCTGGAGGGCGGGAGTGAGGTGCCTCTTGTCCCCTCTCCCTTCGCCTTCCTTTCCCTCACTCACTCCTTGTTGGTCCTCCCTTCATTCCTCCCTCCCTCCCCTTCTCCCCACTGGCAGTTTCGCACCCAACTTCTCCTCCCAACGACAACGCCACCACCGGCAGCACCACCACTCCTACCCTCCCCATGGCACACTTCTCAAACGTAACCTTTGAGGGAAACAGCGCCACGCTGGGCGGAGCGGCGGTGCATCTGGGCATGGCGGCGCGCGCTGCACTCATGGGGTGCCGCCTGGAGGGCGGGCAGGCGAGCAACGGCGGCGGTGTGATGCTGGAGGAGTTTGCCCAGCTCAAGCTGGTCCGATCCGAGTGCACTGGGAACAGGGCGCCATCTGGGGGAGGCTGCATCTCCATGAGCGAGCTGGCGTCCGTTACAGTCACATCCAGCAACGTCACGTCCAACCAGGGCGGCAACAAGGGGGGCGCCATCCAAGCCACGGGGCAGACGCGCCTGGTGATTGCGGATTCCCATTTCTTCAACAACTCGGCCATGGATGGCGGCATGCTCTGGGCTGAGATGGACTCGCAGGTGTGTGGACTGTGGTTTATGCTTGTTCCCTTGTCTCGTTGTCTCCTTGGCACTTGCTGCTTGCAACGGCACTGACCTCAAGGGGCGGGGCCATCCAAGCCACGGGGCAGACGCGCCTGGTGATTGCGGATTCCCATTTCTTCAACAACTCAGCCATGGATGGCGGCATGCTCTGGGCTGAGATGGACTCGCAGGTGTGTGCGGCTCCCTTTCCTTCCCGCCTTGCTTTGTTCTCTGGACCCCTTAGCACCTGTTGCGCACAGCATAAAAAGGCCATCCAAGCCACGGGGCAGACCCAGTTGGCCATCACCGATTCCCATTTCTTCAACAACTCGGCCATGGATGGCGGCATGCTCTGGGCTGAGATGGACTCGCAGGTATGCCTGGCTTAGAGTGTCTCCTTCCCTCCTGCCTTGTTTTGCTTGTCTCCGTGGCACCTGTTGCATCTTGGCCTGCATTGCAGCCATTATCCATTGGGGAGCCCTCTACTGGATTCAGAGAGCACGCACGTCCCCTCTCCTTCCCACTGTGTCGAAATCACTTTTGAGAACTCTCAAAACCGATTTCGATATAGCCTGTTGCGCCTTGGCCTGCATCGCATCGCAGCCGCTATCCATTGGGGAGCCCTCTACTGGATTCAGAGAGCACGCACGTCCCCTCTGGTTTTTGAGAATTCTCAAAAAACACCTGTTGCGCCTTGGCCTGCATCGCTCGCAGCCGTTATCCATCGGGGAGCCCTCTACTGGATTCAGAGCATGCACGTCCCCTCTCCTTCCCACTGTCTTCACCTGTCTTCACCTTCTCTCTCCCCTCTGCCCATGGCCATATCCCCTTCTCCCAGGTGCGCATATCTTCTTCGGTCATTTCGCGCAACACCGCCACCATCCAGGGGGGGGCCTCTACTGCAATCAGAACGCACACGCCTCCCCTCCCGTTCCCACTGTCCATCACCCCGTCACATACCCCCCCTCCTCCCCACCAGGTGCACATCATCTCATTTCGCGCAACACCGCCACCATCCAGGGCGGAGCCCTCTACTGCATTCAGAGCGCGCGCCTCACCTCTCATTTCCCTGTTCTTCCCATGCCCGTGCCTGTGTCCCACACCAGGTGCACATCACCTCCACAGTCATCGCCCGCAACACCGCCACCATCCAGGGCGGAGCCCTCTACTGCATTCAGAGCGCGCTCCTCACCTCTCATTTCCCTGTTCTTCCCATGCCCGTGCCTGTGTCCCACACCAGGTGCACATCACCTCCACAGTCATCGCCCGCAACACCGCCACCATCCAGGGCGGAGCCCTCTACTGCATTCAGAGCGCGCGCCTCACGCTGCTCGCCTCCTCGCTCCGCGCCAACACAGCGGCGCGCGGCGGGGCCATTCTCGCCGAAGGGGGGGTGCGCCTGCTGGTCGCGGGCGGGGTGGGGAGCAGTGGGACAGCAGATAGCGGAGCCGGGGACAAAGGAGGCGGATCAGGCAGCAACAGCAAAACGCCCGCAGTGTTTGAAGGGAACTCGCAGCATGCAGTGGTGCTGCAGGGGCAGGCAGTGGGGTTGTTCTATGGGCAAGCAGTGGGGTCGGTTCTCTTCCGGGGGAATGCGGGGGGGAGCACGATGGATGTGGGGGATGGAGGGGCGATTTTCGCCACGGATTCGACCATAGTGGTGGTGGGCGGTGGAGTGGGGTTTGAGGGGAACACGGGGCATAGAGGTGGTGCGATCTTCTGTGATGCGGAGAGCTCGCTGAGTGTCAGCTCGCGGGTAGATGCTGCTGCTGTTGCTGCTGCTTATGCCGCTGCTGGCGGTGGTGGCGGTGGTGCTGATGGCAATGCTGCTACTGCTACTGCTGCTGGTGGTTATGATGAGAGTGCCACAGCCACAGCTGCTTCAGCTACAGCATCTGCTGCTGCTGACCCAGCAGTCACACCCCAGTCAACCCAGTCAACCCAGTCACCGCTGTTCTCAAACAACCAGGCGCAGGAGGCCGGCGGGGCAATCTTTGTGGCCGGCAACACGTCCCTGCAGATCTCCGATTCGATCTTCCAGTCCAACCGGGCGGTGACGGGGACAGGTGGCGCGATCCTATTGCTCGACTACGCTCACGGGGACCTGCGGGACTGCGCTTTCCGAAGCAACGAGGCAGGCTCGGACGGATCGGCTGTGTACCTGGATCGGGGAGGCATGGGGGGAGGTTCGGGAGGAGCGGGTGGGGGGGAGGAAAGCGGGGGAGCAGGGGGGACGGGCGGAAGTGGGGGAAGTGGAGGAAGTGGGGGAAGTGGGGGAACGGGGGGAATGGGGTTTAGCAAGGCAGCGGTGGGGGCGGTTGTGATGGTGTCTGATATTGCGGGGTTGCTGCAGGCGGGAAGTAGCGCAGGGATGAGTAACCTTGGTGCTGCTGCCAATGCCACTGCTGGTGCAGCTAGCGCCAACGGTAATGGTAACACCAACACCAGCACCAGCGGCAGTGGCGGTGGCAGCAGTGGCGGGGGTGTGAGTGTGAGTGGCGGGCTGCTGCCTCTGAACGTGTCTGGTCTGTCGTTCTACCGTAACCGAGTCACTGGCAACGACAGCATGCCCGCTCTTGACACTGGTGGTGCTGGTGCTAGCAGTGGCGGTGGGGGGAATGCAGGGGGAGCAGGGGGAGCAGGGGGAGCAGGGGGGCCAGGGGGAGCAGGGGGAGCAGGGGGAGCAGGGGGAGCAGGGGGAGCAGGGGGAGCAGGGGGAGCAGGGGGAGCAGGGGGAGCAGGGGGAGCAGGGGGAGGGGGGATAGCGATGGCAGCGGGCGGGCTTGGGTCGGCGTTTCTCGACGCGACGTTCCTCCCTGCGATGCGGTCGGCGTGCGTGGCGTGTGAGAGCATGGACAAGCAAGACACCATCGGCACTCTCCCTTCCTCCTTCCGCCTGATGTGAGTCTCAATCTGTTTTAAGATGTCTCAAGTTTATTATCAAGGAAAGTTCCTCCCTGCGATGCGGTCGGCGTGCGTGGCGTGTGAGAGCAAGGACAAGCAGGACACCATCGGCACTCTCCCTTCCTCCTTCCGCCTGATGTGAGTCTCAATCTGTTTTAAGATGTCTCAAGTTTATTATCAAGGAAAGTTCCTCCCTGCGATGCGGTCGGCGTGCGTGGCGTGTGAGAGCATGGACAAGCAGGACACCATCGGCACTCTCCCTTCCTCCTTCCGCCTGATGTGAGTCTTGTTCATCCTTACACCCTTACTCACTCACTGACTCACCCTCGCTCGCTCACTCACTCACTCACTCACCCTCACTCATGCTCTCACCCTCACTCACTTCCTCACTCATTCACTCACCCTCACTCACTCACTCACTCATACACTCACTCTCACACTCACGCATACACTCACTCACTCACTCACTCTCACTCACCCTCATGTCCCCATCCCCACCTCCTAGCTGCTCTTGTCGAAACGACTCCTCCTACCCCCCTCATCCCTTCCCCCATCCTCTTCCCCCCAGGTGGTCAGGCTAGAGCGACTCAGCAGCTGGAAGCACCACCACAACTGGCACAGTATTCCAGGTGAAGGGAGACAGGGTCACCGCCCTTGATGCCTCTGGCCTCATCCCAGTGAACGACTTTCGACCCAAAGCCTCCATCCTCCCCACTCCTGCTCTCCTTTCCCCCGCTCAACCCCGTCTCCCCTTCCCCATGTCTCGTCCACCCCCCTGTTCCACCGCTCCCCTTCCCCCAGGTGGGCAGGTCAGAGCGACTCAGCAGCTGGAAGCACCACCACCACGGGCACGGTATTCCAGGTGAAGGGAGACCGCGCCAACCCAGTGACAGGGCTGCACGTCACCGTCCTTGACGCAGCAGGCCTCATCCCAGTCAACGACTTCCGAGCCAAGGCCTCCATCCTCCCCACTCCATCCATCAGCGGCCTACTCCAAGCCATAGCAGTCAACGGCCGTGCCACCATCCCTCCCATATCCATCGTTGAACCGCCCGAATCCGGGAATCTCTCGCTGACTTTATCTGTCTCCTCGTCGTTGGATGCGTTTCCGCCGATCGCACGGACGGTTGAGATCGTCTTCTGCCCGCCCGGGCAGTTTTACACCCGCCCGGGGATGACCTGCGAGGTCTGCCCAATCGGGAGCTGGTGCGGGTCGGGGCGGGGCGCGGAGTTCTGCCCGCCGGGCAGCTTTAGTTTTTTTCCAGGCACGGCGTCGCTCACGGATTGTTTACCCTGCCCGACGACGCGCGACGTGTTGCAAGACACGCCGGCCGTGACGTGCGAGCAAGGGAGCATGACAGTAGAGGAGGGGTTCTGGTTTGACTTTAACAGTATCAGCACCGGCATCCCTGCCGTGTATGCCTGCGACGTGAAGGATGGATGCTCTGGGCTGGTCAACCCCCCTTCCTCCTCCTCCGCTCCCGCTGCGGACACTGCAAATACCACCCAACCGCAGCCGCCGCCGCCGCCGCCGCCGCCGCAGCAGCAGCAGCAGCAGCAGCAGCAGCAGCAGCAGCAGCAGCAGCAGCAGCAGCAGCAGCAGCAGGCGGCAGCGAATTCAACTCTAGACCAGCCGCAGTGCAAGGCGGGGTACAACGAGAATCGCCTCTGCTCCAGCTGTGCACCCGGCTACTACTCAGTCCTCAAGTTCTGCTACCCCTGCTCGCCCACCTTCCAGCGACTCTTCCCGCTGCTGCTCGTGCTCATCGTGCTGGCATGGGTGGCCATGGGGGTGCTGTCAGACTCGTTTCACACCATTGCTATACTCGCTATAGAGCTGCAGATGCTCACGTTTATCGGGTCGTACAACCTGCCGCTGCCCTCCTGGGTGAACACCATCGTGCAGTACTTTCAAATTGCGCTCTTTGTGCCGGTAAGTACCGCTCTCGACCCAGCTGTTCTCCTTATAATGCGATCTTCTTGTTCTGTGTTGTGCTGATGGGAGCTTCCTTTTGCCCTCTTGAGTGCACGCACACCATTGTGCAGTACTTCCAGATCGCACTCTTCGTACCGGTAAGCACCGCTCCCAACCCAGCTGTAGTCTTTGTACCTGTAAGTAACACTCTCAACCTCTTTCAGCCCTCAGCCCGCAACCCACCTTCCAGCGCCAGTTCTTGCTGCTGATCGTGCAGCAGTGGGCAGTCACCATGGTCATCCCTGTAACCACCCCAGACCCCATCATCACTCCTCTTCCCTCTCCCCCTTTGCTCTTCCCCCCTTCCTTTCCTCAGGACGTGATCGGGCCCGGCTGCACAGTGACCTACTCTTTCGTGCAGCAGTGGGCAGTCACCATGGTCATCCCCGTTTTAGGCGTCCTCGTATACGCATGCCTCTACCTCACCCACCGCCTCTACTCCCACACCATCACCCGCATCTACGGGCCCCCCAAGCACCACCCCATCACCAGCACCACCAGTTTCACCCCCTCTGCTGCCGCCTCTGCCGCCGCCGCTGCTGCTTCTTCTCCGGCTGCTGCTGCTGCTCCATCTCTCCGCACCGGCACCAACGGCACCAGCTTCTCGCGAGCTCCAAGCGGCATCGGCTCTCGAGCAGACGATTTGACCGGGCACGTGACAACCAAGCGCGAGATGTTCGACAAGTACGAAAACACTCTGATCCACGGCGTCACCAACTGGCTAGACCTGAGCTACGCGGCCGTAACCTTCCGGTGTTTCCAGGCGTTCTACCGGCACTGGTACGGGGCGGATGTGATGGGTGCGGCGCCGTATATCGGGTGGTTTTCCGAGACGCACACGGTGGTGTTTGCGCTGTCGGTGGTGATAGCGGTGGTGTATGTGGCGGGTGCGCCGGTGTGCTACGCGCTGGTGCTGTGGCTGGGCAAGTCCAAGGGGCTGCTGGCGAGTCACACGTACAAGATGCGCTGGGGGTGGATGGTCAGCCGGTGAGTTGCTTAGTGCACACACTCACTCACTCACTCACTCACTCGCTCACTCACTCACTCACTCACTCACTCACTCACTCACACACAACACTTGCGCATGCGCACACATGTCAGTCGGTGGTGTTTGCGCTGTCGGTGGTGATTGCGGTGGGGTATGTGGCGGGTGCGCCGGTATGCTACGCGCTCGTGCTGTGGCTGGGGAAGGCCAAGGGGCTGCTGGCGAGTCACACGTACAAGATGCGATGGGGATGGATGGTCAGCCGGTGAGTTGCTTAGTGCACGCACACACTCACTCCCTCACACACACACACACACTCACTCACTCACTCACTCCCACATTCACTCGCTCACTCACTCACTCACACACTTGCGCATGCGCACGCATGTCAGTGGGTGGTGTGTGCGCTGTCGGTGGTGATTGCGGTGGTGTATGTGGCGGGTGCGCCGGTGTGCTACGCGCTCGTGCTGTGGCTGGGGAAGTCCCTGGGGCTGCTGGCGAGTCACACGTACAAGATGCGCTGGGGGTGGATGGTCAGCCGGTGAGTTGCTTAGTGCACACACGCATGCACACACATACACGCGCGCTCACATGTGCGTAACATGTATGTATGTATCATGTATGCCCCACGTGTGGCCTGGTGTAAGTATGACCGTGTGAGTACGAGTGCGTCCTCCATAACCCTAGTGGCACATCATGTGTGCTCTATTGCATTGCATGGCATGGCATGCACTACTTTCCCCTCTTTTTGTTGCAGGCACACAAGTACATTAATTGGCACCTCGTGATATGCTCTCTTGTTCATTCTGTCTCCCCCGAACATGTGTGCTGCATGGCATGGCATGGCGTGCATGGTGCATGGCACAGCTACGAGTACGACTACTTCTGGTGGCACCTCACCTGTTATGCCCGTCGCATCATCCTCGTCTCCATCGCTGTCTTTGGCGTGCAGTCGCCCCAGACGCAGGTACGCGTGAACTGATCTCACACACCTGTTTTGAGGCACCTCACTCTAGTGGCACTTCATCTGCTACTCCTCACCTGCTACGCGCGTTGCATCATCCTCGTCTCCATCGCTGTCTTCGGCGTGCAGTCGCCGCAGACGCAGGTAAGCGCGAGCTCGTACCATATGTATCATATGTAGCCACATGGAGGTGGGATGCTGTCCGCCCAGACACAATCCATATATCATATTTTGTCCCCCTCCCCTTCTCCCCTCCCCATCCTTCTCACCCTTTTCCTTTCTCTTCCTCACTCCTTTTGCAACACCCACCCACACTCAGGTGTCAGTGACCCTCCCTCTGCATGTCATTCGCATCGGCCTGCAGTACAACCCATCCCTCTTTCCTCTTCCCTCACTCCTCTTGCCACTCCGCCTCCTCTTTCCCCCTTCGCTCCCTCTCCCCCTCTCCCCCATCAGGTGTCAGTGACTCTCCCTCTGCAAGCCATCCGCATCGGCCTGCAGTACGGCGCCTCTCCCTTCGCAGCCTTCTCTCATGACGTGCTCAACTCGCTGCTCGCGCTCGCAGAGCTGCTCTTCACCGTGGCGCTCACGGGCTTTAACTACATCGGCATCACCACCGCCGCCAACGTGCTCTTTGCCTTCTCCTTCGCGCTCGTCTTCCTGCCCACGCTGCTCATCCTCTGCTACGAGCTCGTCAACTGGTAAGCCTTTTTTCTGTTCACAATTCCAAAAGAAAGAAAGAAAAAGAGTCCAGTGGACGACCTGGTGCATCCCTCCGACATGGCGCGCTGGTTCCGCCCCCACGTGCTCTCTGCCTTCCTCTTCCACTACTCCTCCGCCTCCCTATTGTTCACCTTCCTATTTTCCCTGTCCTTCTCCCCTCCCCCTCCCCCTCCCCCTCCCCCTCCCCCTCCCCCCCAACCCAACAGGTACATCACGCGCTGCAATTGCAGGGAGCTGAATTCAATGTGGCAAACAGACAAGGCCAGAAAGTCTTTACGCTCCCGAAGGCGACTGGCAGCGCTGTCAGTGGACGACCTGGTGCATCCCTCGGACGTGGTGCGCTGGTTCCGCCCCCACGTGCTCTCCGCCTTCCTCTTCCACTACTCCTCCGCCTCCCCCGCCTACCACGCCGCGCGCCGCAAAACCCTCTCCGATGAGACAGCCTTGGAAACTGGCACTGCCGGCACTGCTGGTATTGGTAGTGCTGCTGGTGCTGGTGCTGGTGCTGGTGGTGGTGGTGGTGGTGCTGGCGGTGCTGGTGGTGCCGGCGGGGAGTTTCAGCATGTGGGTACTGCAGAAATGCGGCGGCGGCGGCGGCTGCTGCTGCGGCTGCGGGACCGGTTCGAGAGGATCCGGCTGGCGGGACCGGGGGATGCGCAGTGGATGAAGCACTTAAGTAAGAGTCAGATGTACGGGGTGCTGTCGCAGGCGCTGCTGGGAGCGGCGGTGGGGGAGGTGACTGTTGCAAGAATGCCTGTGAGTAGTGGGAGTGAGGGACTGCTGGAAGGGGGTTCTGCTGCTGCTGCTGCTGGTTTCACTGCCGCTGCTGCCGCTGCTGGTGCTGGTGCTGCCGATGGTGGTGTTGGCAGCGGTGGTAATACTGCTGCTGGTGGCATTGCTGGTGGTGGTATTGCTGGTGGGTACCCCTACCATAATAGCCCTTGGGGAGGGGCTACTGCTGCTGCTGCTGCAGGGCCTGCTTTCAGTGGCAGGTTGGTGGGGGATAGCAGCCGGCTTACTGGCACTTCCACTCCCACTAATAGGCTCAGCACCTCCGAAGCTGGCTCACGGAGGCTCGGCACCCCCGAGGCTGGTTCACGGAGGCTCGGCACTCCTGAGGCTGGCTCCAGGAGGCTTGGGACACCGGAGGCTGGTTCGCGGAGGCTTGGCACTCCCGAAGCTGGCTCGGGGGCCGTGTCGAGGAGGCTCGGCACGCCAGAGCTAGGTTCGGCGAGAAGAGTGGCGGCTTCGGTTTCAGCGGAAGGGGGAGAGGCACGGTTGGTTGACTTAGGTGCGGCAGCAGAAGCAGCAGCAGCAGCAGGAGCAGGAGGAGGAGGAGCAGGAGGAGGGGGGGCAGGGGGAGTATCACCAATGTCAGCTTTTTTGTCTGCATCTGGGAGGTTGGATGTGACAGGGGCAGGTGCAACTGGGGCGGGTACACCTGGAAGAGGTACACCTTTTGGGGGAGGTACACCTGGGCATAGCACACCTGGGGGAGGCACACCTGGGGGAGGCACACCTGGGGGAGGTACACCTGGGCGCGGCGTGGCACGATTTGGGTCTCGAAGCCTGTCGAGACGAGAGCGGTGGGTGCAGCCTGAGGTGAGCCGAGGTGGTGAGGCGAATAGATGTGACTCGTTTAGAGGAGATCCGTTTAAAGGTGATCCTTCTAGAGGTGTAGGGGATGGAGCAGGAGGAGGGGGGGGAGAAGGAGGGGGAGAGGGAGGGATGGGGGGGTTGGGAGCGGTTGGAGGGGTGGAAATGGGAGTGGGAGCGGTGGGATGGGATCCGGATGAGGAGGACGAGGAGAGGATGCTGCTGGAGTGGCCGCCCAGGCTGGACCACCACGTCAGCTGGACGGCAACTAATGCTGTGGGCGGCGAGATTGAGCGGCGGGGTTTGTCTGGTAGTGCAGCGGATGTGCTGGTGAATGGGGAGGGGGAGGAAGAAGACGGGGAGGAACTGGAGAGGAATGGGTGGCACGAGGAGGAGGAGGGGGGGGAGGAGGAGGATGAGAGTGTGGGGGATGAGGAGGAAGGAGCAGATCTAGAGGAGAGAGCAGAGCAACGGCGGCATCAGCAGAGGGAGCAAGGGGGTTACAGAAGCGGGTACGGGGAGGAGCATGGAGGCGAGGAAGGGGACGGACAAGGTGGAGAGGGCAGAGGGGAGGGCAGAGAAGAGGGTGGAGGGGAAGAGGGCGGAGGGGAAGGGGGCTACGTGGAGGCGCGGATGAACATGGCGGAGCTAACGCTGCTCTTCCAGCGCCACCTCGCGCTGCTCGTGCGCTCCGAGGCCCTCCGCCGCCCCACCTCCCTGCGCCTGCTACTTCGGTCGGAGGCGATTCCTGATCTTCTAGCCTGGCTCACTTCCCCTCACTGGTACGTGTGTGTGTGTGGTTCTGCTTGGGCCGTGTGTGGGGGGCTGCAGGGGGTAAGGGACAGGGCACACAGGGCACACTGGGCACACAGGGTACAGCACAGAGGGAGGAGAAGGGGGCTACGTGGAGGCGAGGATGAACATGGCGGAGCTAACGCTGCTCTTCCAGCGCCACCTCGCTCTCCTCGTGCGCTCCGAGGCCCTCCGCCGCCCCACCTCCCTGCGCCTGCTGCTGCGCTCCGAAGCCATCCCGGACCTTCTGGCCTGGCTCACCTCGCCGCACTGGTACGTCTATGAGCGTCCCTGCTGTGCTGCTCATGCGCTCCGAGGCCCTCCGCCGCCCCACCTCCCTGCGCCTCCTGCTGCGATCGGAAGCCATTTCTGATCTTCTAGCCTGGCTCACCTCGCCCCACTGGTAGGTTTTTATTGAATTTTCTTAGAATTCTCAAGAGTCGCTCACAATGTTTGCATTGAATGGCTTGGCTCCCCATACCAATTTACTGGTAGGTTTGTGGGCGCTTGCTCGTGGTTGTGCTTGTGTTGTGGGGGGGGGGGGGGGGGGGGGGGGGGGGGGTTGCAACACAGGGCCCTCTGCCACCCCACCTTATTGCGCCTGCTGCTGCGCTCCTCACTGCGCTGCTGCTGCTGCTGCTGCTGCTGGGCTCCAAGGCCATACCGAACCTGCCAGCCTGGCTCACCTCGCCCCACTGGTAGGCTCGGGTGCTGTGCCGTGGTCCCTGGCAGTGTTAGGCTCGGTTGCTTTGGCCTGACTTGGGAGGACCAGCAGGTGCTGAGCTGAGGGACGTGGTTCGACATCCCAGCAGCATTGATTCTTGCCTTTCCTCCATCCCTCCTCTGCACTACCCCACCTCCCCTCATCCCCCCGAATGTCACTCCAGTGAGGCGGAGGATCAGCAGGTGTGGGGGCGTGGTGGCAATGGTGCGGTCAGCTGTGCTCCTTACCTTCCCTCCACCCCCCCACCCTTCCTCCCCTACTTTCCCCTCCCTCTCCCCAACCAGTGAGGCGGAGGATCAACAGGTGTTGAGGGACGTGGTGGCACTGATGCGGTCGGCAGCGGTGGCAGAGGCAGGCAGCCTGCACTGGTCTCGGGGCTTCTGGGCCTTCTTCCGCACGCACTCCGTGCTGCACCGCGCCAAGACATGGTGAGTTGGGGCATGGTGTGCCATGAGTCGACTCAAAAGCCAAGGCATGATGAGGTGTGTGTTCACTTCACTCACAGAGGCAGGCAGTCTGCACTGGTCCGGGGGCTTCTGGGCATTCTTCCGCAAACACTCTGTCCTTCATCGTGCCAAGACATGGTGCGTCAATTCATCGTGTTGGGAACTCAGGGCATGGTGTGGTGTAGGCATGCTAGCTCTAGTAGTTTTGGGACATGCTAAAACACAGGTCATGGTGAGGTGTGTGATTGTGTAGGCTGTAAGAGGCAAGCAGCCTGCAGTGGTATCAGGGCTTCTGGGCTTTCTTCCACACTCACTCCGTGCTGCACCGCACCAAGACATGGTAAGTCACATGATGCCATTGGTGATGGTGGTGGTTCAGGGCATGGTGAGGGAGGGATTGTTTGCCACAAGTGATAGCTGTGGTTTCGTCTGATGGATCATAATCCGGTGCATAATGGGCGTGCCTCTTATTTTTCGAGGTGCCATGAAAAGTGACCTCAAGTGATAGCTTTGTGGGTGATGAATCGTGATTCGTCCAGGTAGGGTTTTTTTAGAATTCTAAAAAATAGCCTGCAGCACCAGGTAGGGCATGGTGGGCCTGCCATTAAAATACCTCTGCCTTCTCCTGTCACTTTCTGAACTCGTGCAGTGTGCAGCCTTGTCTGCCGTCAAAGCCATTGCTTGAAGATGACATTTAACAACTGCTGAAATGTCGTATGGCAAGTATCTCAACTGGGATGACATCTTGCAAGTACCGTTGGGAGATATCATCAACGAATGCTCTTACAGATGCTGGGAGATGACATGTATTATAGGAACTGAACTGGGATGCATAACGATGTGAACATAACATGTGCTGTACTGCTTGGATTCACGGTGTATAATAGCTGTTATGAAAGCAGAGGTTGCAGCCAGCTCTGATCACCTGACAGATAGAATGTATGGACACAATTCATGTAGGGGCTGTAAAAACAACTCTTGAACGGCAGAGTGATTACGCGTCAGCAAAAGCGTGTTCAGCAGGATTCGAACCTGCGCGGGCAGAGCCCAACAGATTTCTAGTCTGTCCCGTTAACCACTCCGGCATGAACACACGTTCAAAATTTACAGGCTGTGTAAAAGGTTGCATGCATTGGCACCAGGAGCGCGCTTTGCTATGTTATGGCGGCCCAAACGTCCTTAGCGGATCTCACGGCGGACTGCTTCGCGCACTGCTGCCGATGGCTCTCTCCGCGGGACCTCGTAAACCTCTCCTTTTGCTGTTCGTCACTTCGCCAGCTGTCGAATAGCGATGCAGCGTGGGCATGCCACGTGGCACATCAGTGGACGCCATCCCGCCAGGTGTGGCTTTAACGCGTCCCCATACTCAGCACGTCAACTCTCTCTTAGTTTTTGAAGCAACTCGGTTTTGTAACCGAGGTTCTGAGGTCTAGTTTTGAGGCGCCTCAAAACCGAGGTTCTGAGGTGCAATCCATTCCTTTTTCCTCCTCTTCCTTCGTTCCCTTCCCCCACCTTCACTCCATGCCCCGTGTGTCTATACACCAGGCCGCGTCCCGATCGGGATTCCGCCAGGCCTTCATAGAGCGCCTTTGAGTCACCTCAAAACTTTCCCTTTCTTCCCCTACTCCATGCCTCGTGTTTCCCCATGTTTCCCCGTGTTTCCCCGTGTGTCCCGTGTTTCCCCGTGTGTCCCATGTTTCCCCGTGTGTCCCGTGTTTCCCCGTGTGTCCCGTGTTTCCCCGTGTGTCTATACACCAGGCCGCGTCCTGCTCGGGATTCCGCCAGGCCTTCATAGAGCGCCACGTGGCAGCACAGAAGCTGCAGATCGCCGACCCTGCCACGTGTGCATGGCTCCTGTCTGGAGGCGCAGGGGGGGTCGCAGCAGCAGCAGGAGGCGGGGGAGAGGGGGACGGGGGAGGAGAAGGCGCGGCAGCAGCAGCATGGGGATGGGGTGGGCCAGGGGGAAGGGGAGGGGGAGTGGCGGGGGGAAGAGGTGGGAGGCAGGGTGGCGGGGGGAAGAGGTGGGGGGCAGGGTGGCGGGGGGGAAGGGGAAGCGCAGAAGCCCGTGAGCGCAGTGATGGTGCTGGCGGGGGGCGGAGGCCTTTCCGCCATCCCCGCTTTATCCTCAGTTTCAGTCCCAGGCGCTGGGGAGGGTGATGAGTGGGACAAGGAGGGAGTGGAGGAAGGGGAGGGGAGAGGGAAGGAGGGGAGGGAAGGAAGGCATCATGTGGTGGCAGTGCAGGTGTGCTCCTTAGACTGTGTTTTTGTCTCTTTGGCTCTGTTTTGTTTCTTTTTTCTTTTTCTTTCTTTTTTCTTTTTCTTTCTTTTTCCTCTTTTTTTTTTTTTGCTCTTTTCAGTTCCCCTTGTACGTCTTCCTTGTCGTGTTTTATCCGCTCATAGCTTGGGTGTTGTTTTCTTGTTATCATGTTTTGTTGTTTTCTTTTCTTTCTTTCTTTTTCGGTCTAGGTGGAGGAAGGAGAGAACCAGGTGGTTCTCTCCTCCACCTTTCCGTGTTCTCTCTAGCGTCGCTCACACACACTCCCCAACAACAAGGCGCATCACAGCACCAATAATCCACTCCAACCACCTGCTTTGCCTGCAAAACAATTGAACGATTCGGAGCCAACCCAACCCAACCCAACCCAACCCAACGTCAACGGTATACAATCTACCCAACCCAACCACCTTCCTTGCGAGCAGGGCTCCAATGTTATCCTGTGGTCTACAGCAGCATCAGGAAGGGCGCAGCTGTCAGCGCCTCAGCTGGCAGCAGGGCTCACGGCTCACAAGGGGTGCATCACATCACAGCGCTACTCCCAGTGGACCTCTCGCCCTTCCCTGCTGCCCTCCTTCATGACTCCTGCCCCACCCACCCAACCACCTCACCTCCCTTGCGCGCAGGGCTCCAACGTTCTCCTGTGGAGGGCTCCAAGCACAGCACCGGCAGTAAGGGTGAAGCTATCAGCCCCCCGGCTGTCAGCAGTGCTCACGGCGCACAAGGGGCGCATCACCACACTTCTCCCTCTGGACCTCTCGCCCTTCCCTTCCCTTGTGTGAAGGGCTCCAACATTCTCCTGTGGCAGGCAGCAGCAGCAGCAGCAGCAGCAGCAGCAGCAGTAGGAAGGGTGCGGCTATCAGGGCCTGGCCTATCAGCGGTGCGCACTCCCACTGGACCTCTCGCCCTTCCCTTCCCTTGTGTGCAGGGCTCCAACATTCTTCTGTGGAGGGCTCAAAGCACAGCAGCAGTAGGAAGAGAGCAGCTATCAGCAGTGTTCCCGGCGCACAAGGGACGCATCACAGCGCTGCTCCCGGTGGACCTCTCGCCCTTCCCTGCGGCTGCCCGCCTCGTCCCGCCCCTCCCGTCCCACACCTTCCTCCTCTCCACCAGCCTGGACCGCACTCTACGCCTCTGGGGCAAGGTGAGATGGTTCTGTCCTGCTGCTTTTCTAGCCTCACTCCTTGTGGTAAAATATTTTTTTTGAGACGTCTCGAAAATAATCTTTTTACACGAGGCAAGGTGAGATGGTTCTGTCCTGCTGCTTCTCTAGCCTCGCTCCTCACCCCTCGGCCACACCAGTGGCACCTCAGACTGCGTCCTGCCTCCATTCTCTCTCCCGCCCCTCTCTCTCCTCTGCTACCCCACTCAGACCACCTGTCTGCGCACCTTCTCAGGGCACACGGGTCCCATCCTCTGCCTCTCAGACCGCATCATAGGCACCTCACATCCTTGCTCCTTCCCATTGCTCCTGCTTCTCTTCCGCACTTTCCCCTCCCACCCAGGCCACCTGTCTGCGCACCTTCTCAGGGCACACAGGCCCCATCCTCTGCCTCTCAGACCGCATCATAGGCATCTCACATCCTTGCTCCTTCCCATTGCTCCTGCTTCTCTTCCGCACTTTCCCCTCCCACTCAGACCACCTGTCTGCGCACCTTCTCAGGGCACACAGGTCCCATCCTCTGCCTCTCAGACCGCATCATCGGCACCTCCCACCCGTGCACGGGGAGCAACAGCGATGCTTCGAGTGCCGCTACCCCTTCCTCTACTTCCTTGTCCTCCTTCCTTCCGTGCGTCGCGACTGGAGGCAGCGACAGCACCGTTCGTGTCTGGTCCCTCCTCCCATCAGGTATGGACCTCACCTAAACCTAACATGACCTCACCTCTCTTCAAACCGTCCTTGTTTCAATGCCTCTCCTCTCCTCTCTTTTGTAAATTCTGTCTATGTTTACCTTTCGGTGGTATCTTATTACCCAGTTATCCTCCTCTTTCCTCCATCACCTCACTCCACTGCTTCCCTTATTCCAATCCCCCCTCCCCCACCATCCAGGGAAGGGGTGGTCAGCGTGTGTTGCCACACTCAAGGGCCACGAGGGGCCGATATCCGCCCTGGCTGTTGCCACGTGAGTCACTTGTTTCTTTCCTGGCCAGGCCAGGACTCTAATCATCTTGCATGCTTGCACCATACAGCAGCATCGTCCTGTGCTCGCCGCCCTGCCATCCTCATCCTCCCTTCCTCCCTTCCCCCCTTCCCCTCCGCCTCGCTTGCCCTCACTCACCCGCCACCTATTTTTCAATTACCCTCCTCCTCGCGCTCTCCTCTCAACCTCATCTCTCGCCCTCCCCCTCCCTCTCATGCCAGGCACAACCCTCCCTTCCTCCTGGCCAGTGTTGCCCGAGACGCCAAAGTATGGCTGTTCCTTCACTCACTCTTCTCACACTCTCCTCTCAACCTCACCACCTCCCCATCCCCGTCGCCCTCCCCTTCACCTCTCGTCCTCCCTCTCATGCCAGGCACAACCCCTTCCTCCTGGCCAGTGTTGCTCGAGACGCAAAGGTAAGGCCCTGGCAACGCTGGTGTTAGGATGTCCCTTTTGAGGCGCCTCTAAAGGTAAGGGCCTGCCAATGCTGGTGTTAGGATGTCCCTTTTGAGGCGCCTCAAAAGGTAAGGGCCTGCCAACGCTGGTGTTAGGATGTCCCTTTTGAGGCGCCTCAAAAGGTAAGGGCCTGCCAACGCTGGTGTTAGGATGTCCCTTTCGAGGCGCCTCAAAAGGTAAGGGCCTGCCAACGCTGGTATTAGGAAGTCCCTTTTGAGGCGCCTCAAAAGGTAAGGGCCTGCCAACGCTGGCTTTAGGACGCTTTTGAGAACCTTTAAAACCAACTGGTTTCTTTTCCAGTCGTCTTTAGAGGCCTCTCGAGAGTTGTCTGGTTGTAGGGTGCCCCAAAGCTCTGAGAAAGGACCCCTGTATTTTTTCTGCTTTCAAAGCAGGGTTTGAATGCTTTATCCGACTCTTGAGTCGGCCGTAACGACGCGACTTTTGAGTCAACTCATAAGCCACTTGCAAATGCACCGCTTGGTTGCTTCTTCTGCTGCGTGTTGTGTCCCATTCCAAGCAGCTGCGACTGTGGGATTGCCGTCACTTAGTCCCTTCCACCTTCACCACTACCACCACTACCTCCTCATCCCCATCCTCGTCCTCCTCCTCTTCGTCTCCTTGCATCGGCACGTGTCGTACCCCCACAGCCCCATTCGCCTTGCTCCCCCTCCCTCCTCAACCAACCCATGCTCTGTGCCTGGTGGTGGGCCGAGGCGGCATAACAGCCCTGGATATTCTTTCAATGAAACAGGTATGGCACAGTACGATATGGTATGGAATGGCATGGCATGGCATGGCATGGCATGGCATGGCATGGCATGGTATGGCATGGTATTGCATTACCCTTTTCAACCTGACTCCCTCGTTTCCTTTCCCCTCCACCCACTTTCTCCCTTCTCGTCCCCCCTTCAGGTACTCGCTCTCCCATGCGGGTCCTCCCCCCTCTCCTCCTTCGCCGCCTCCCCATCACGCTGCATCGTTGCAGCAGGCTCTGAGGATGGTTGTGTCAGGCTGTGGCGCTTGGGGCAGGTGCGGGAGGAAGGGGCAGCGGAAGGAATAGACACTGCAGGAGCAGCCGGGGCAGGAGGGCAGTTCTCAGCAGCAGGCATGCGAGAATCTAAAGTGCTTTCAAATTGCTGCCAGTCAGGACAGGTTGAGTTCAAGCTTCTCGCCTGCTCGAAAGCGCATAACAGTACAGTGGATTTACTGTACGTTGACGGTTATAAATGCATCAGTGGGAGCCGAGGGGACGGAGTGTTGTGTGTGTGGGATGTGGAGACTGGGGAGGAGATTCGCACATTGGACGCTACTGCTCTTCCCCCTTGGATGGTGGATACTACAGATGATGCAAGTGAGCAGGGTGATCATGGTGGCGGTGGTGCTGGTGGTGATGCTGGTGGTGGTGGTAACCTTACAAATGCTGGTAACCACAGGGATCTAACAACAGGCGGTGATATCGTTGATGCTGCGACTGCTGGCGAAACTAGGGGCAATGCTTCGACCGAGACTGTGAGGCGAGTCCTACTGGAGAGTATGCATGCATGTGGGGGTGTGGTGGTTGCTGCCTTGGTGAGTTATCGCAGGAGGGCTCTGACTGGGAGGAGGATGCAACAGCAGGTGATAGAGGAGGTTGAAGGCAGATGGTTGCGCTTGTGGGATTTCACTTGTGATAGGGTTTTTTTGGGATCGAATGATGGTGAATTTGTCAGGGAAGAGGACGCAACTCTGCTGAAGGGTGGTGGCAAATTTTGGTAGAGCATTCTTGTTGTGCTATGCTGAAGTGATCCTGTTGCAATGACATCTGCACGTGTAACACGCAACCGCTAGAAGATTCAGTAGGATTTCGTTTGACTTGGTATGGTACAACACTGATAATTTGGTTTGGATGCGATTCGAGGTTCTCAAAATTTTAAGCCATTGAACATCAGGAGAAACCTCGGAAAACGAAGCCAGAACAATAATGTGTATGACCCAATCCCAGCGTCAGGGCGTTGACATTTGGTGTGGTAGCGACCACGGCCCTGCTCCTCACCTCATCCTATTCCTTGCTTTTCGTGCTCGGCTGCGATTGGCCATCGTCGGCAAGGTCAAGGACCACATCGGGTTTTCATCGCGTGCTTTTTTCAGTGCAAAACAATTCCCAAGGCTGTTGAGGGAAGGAACCGCATTCAACCTCTTCGTTCACTGTAGCTGATGCTGCCCCTGTCGTGCTTGGAGGGACAAGACCGCAACCCATCCCCACAACCTCCAGCCGAGGAGGACCGTTCGCTCATTCTGAATTCTTGCCGTCAGCAGCAGCTGCTGGCACAGCCAGATGTTTGTTCCTCCTAATGTACGGTCTGCAGCTGCAGTCGGCCACGCACTAGGTCTTTCTCTAGCTGTTGGCATCGGTGGTGACCGTAGTATGCACATATTGCTAGAAGATGCACGACTGACGCTCTTTTCCGCCGCTGTGTTGCTTGCGGTTCAGGCCTCACCCCCTTGTCCCGCACCTTCTTCCGTCTACTTATTCCTTGCGGCTGCGACGCACTATAGTCACGCGCCGATATAGCCACCTCACCATCTGGCATTAGCTACCCCAACAGGGCCATGGCTTTCGTTGATCTTCGAGCCAAGTTATAAGTCATTTCGCGCGAGACCATTCACCATTTTGCGTTTGCAGCCCTAACGCGACGGTACCACGCAGCAACGGTTTATTCTTAGTTGTTTTCTTCTCCCTTTCTCGGGAATCATCGAAACTCGCCTTGTGACGGCAACGATCATCGCGATTACCCATCTCGCTGCTACGACAATCGTCGCCTCGTCGTCTGATGCCTCGAGTGCGAGTTCCGACAGCGTCGGTGCGTATCTTCCGCGCATTGTCCCGCCCTCACGCTCTCAAAATCCGCTCTAGTTCCGCTTCGACCTTCCAACTACAACTACGGTTTTTTCTTCGCATTCGTGTTCCGTTGTAATCTTCCGTTTGCCTGTTTTTATTCTAAGAAACTAATCAGGCTCTTGAGGGCCGCAGGTGTCCTCGACGACGACTTTTCGGGTACGGCAACAGCAGCAGAAGCAGCAACCTCGGATCCAGGAACCTCCGTCACTCTATCGCACCGCTCAGGACACCTCTAAAAGCTCTCGAACCCACCTCCCCGCCTCCTCCCCGCCTCCAGCCTACCCTTTCGAACCTCGAGATTCCTCTCCTAATCATATCCCTTCCTCTCCCGAGCCTCCTCGGCCCACGCTCCGCTCTCACGGGCCGCACTCCGAGCCTCCTTACAGCAACATTGTCGAGTCACGTTATAGTGAGGCTTCCCAACCCGCGCGATCACAGCAGAGTGAAGATCGGCGAACCCAAGGCCGTACTTCGCGGGTTGATAAGGTCAGACATTACAATGATTCTACACCACAGCGGGATTTTATACCACAAATGGAGCAGAGTATACCGGGGCAAGCGAATGGCGCGAGCTGCGGGAGTCCTGGAAACAGCATCGACGGCAGCAGCAGCGGGTTTCAGACGCCGCCGTCCGACATTAGTCCCGGTTCTGCATCCCCGTTATTAGCTCAGCGTCCATCTCAATCTACGGCTCACCGCATCTCAGAAGCGAAATCCGGCCGTCAGAATAGTAACGGCCGCGAAGCAGAACGGAACGACGGCCGTCGGGGAATAAACGGTCACCGTCTTCATGACGCTGACCGCCATTGCCAACCTGCTGCTGTGACTGAACCCGCAGAAATTTCCTTTCGAATGCACTCCCCTTCGCATCCGAACAGAGCCGTGTCTCCCCCCGGTCCCGAAACAGCCATTCGCAACCCATTAAGGCCGTCCTCGCTAAAGGCTTCCTCGGAAAACGCGTTCCCCGGCCCCATTGCTTCCCCCTCAGGTAGACCGTCCGATTCCGTCTTAGCCGATCTCTCCTCCGCAATTGCTCTCTGCAATCGCATCGTCCATCTATCAGGCCCTTACCCTACCTCTACTTCCCCTCACCGGCACTCCGCATCCCTCCCAAGCTCCCCCTCCGCCTCCCCTTTCCGCGCGACAGGTCCCCCGCTACCTCCCATCCGGAACGCCGCCCTCCGTATAGCTGCCGAGCGTGTTTCGAAACGAACCAAGCAGCTCCTGCCGATCCTGATTCAACTGCAAGGCCCGGCAGCCGCGAACCTCATTTCCGATCCTCGTGCGTCATTTATCATCCAACGGCTGTTAACGGAGCTAGAAACCACTGTAGCTGCCCTCGAGGCATGTAACAGATCCAGCAAATCTCCACTGGCAGGCCTGCTCCGCTTCTTTGGCAAACATCATTTTTCTTTATCCGCCTTCTCTTCCAAACCCCGTACCGGTGACCATGCCAAACCTCTTGCCGGACCTGACCTGGTTGCGTTTGGTGACCCACCTCCGCTTTCCCGAGCCGCATCCTCAGCCTCGACCTGCTCTATCTCTTTCACCTCCTCCTCCGGTTCCTCCTCCTCCGCTCTTGCCTCTCAGCTAAAAGCGTGCTTAGCTGAGATTCGCCAGTGCCACACGGAATGCCTACTCTTGCTCGGACAGAGTTCCACCGTTTTCAGGCGCACTCAGAGTGTTGGAGGGAGGAGCTCACTGGACGGGGGGGAAGTTGGCGGAGGAGGCGGCACAGGTGAGGGCGGAACAGGAGGGGGCGGAAGAGGGGAAGGCGGAGATGGAAGGGGAGCAATACGAGGGGGAGCCGTAGGAGGGGCAGATTTTGGAGGAGGACGAGGAGGAGCAGGTGAAGAGTATGGGTATCAGCAGCAGCAGGAAAGGGAGCAGCAGGGGCAGCAGGGGCAGCAGGAGCAGCGCAGGCGGAGGAGCTTAGAGGACGTTCCACTCCCTTCAAGTTCCATGATTGATAAGTCGTTATTTATGGGTGGTGGTAGAAGCCGTGCCGGGGCTGCTGCTGGTGAGGCTAGAGGTGAGCAGGGCGGCAGCAGGGGCGCTAGCAGCTCCGCTGACACTGCGCGCACTGCCTCGCCCTCTAATGCTGCCGCTTCCGCCCCCGCCGCCGCCGCCGCTGCTGCTGGGGCTGGCGCTAGTGATGATGCAGGCAGGGGCCGCACAGCCGCCACAGCCTCACCTTCCAGTAAGCGAACTCCCAGTAAGCGAACTCCCAGTAGGCAAGGATCCAGCAACAGCCGCACTCACAGCAGCACCAAGGCCTCCACTCCCGCCCTAGCAACCGCCCACCCAGGGATTCTCCCCCCTCGCTCCCCCCCTACCCCTCTCACCACCTCCGACCCGCCAACCCCCCCACACCAGCCCACCCACCTTCCCCACTCAGGCGCCTCTTCCCCTCGTAGTTCCACCGCCACTGGCACTTCTGTCTTTTCTGCCGGCCCGGCTGCCGCCCGCCAGCTGGTCGTCTCACTCTCCCGGGGATCCGCGCTGGAGAAACGGACGGCGCTGAGGGCGCTTTTGGAGCTATCTGAGTCGTCGGATGCAGGGAAACTGCACGTGACTGCAGCAGGGGTGGTCCCTGTGATTGCTGTGCTGCTCAATCATCCAGACCTGGGAGCCAGCTTCAGCAGCAGCAGCTTCGGAAGCAGCGGGGGGGCAGCGGGTATAGGTGGTGCAGGTGGTCCTGGTAGCGCAAGCAGGACTGGGAGTGGTACTACCAGGAGTGCTAGAACGTCGAGCATAGGTGAGGAGCTTAAGTTGGTCTCTCTGCGACTGCTCCTATCGCTCGTTTCTCTCGACGAGAACCGAGCAGTAGTGGTGAAGGCTGGGTGCGTCGCGATCCTAGTCAGCATCCTCCGAACCGGATCGCCGGACCTGCGCGCCGTGGCTGCGCGGGTGCTTTGGAAGGTGGCAGTAGGTGGAGGGGGAGGGGGAGGGGGAGGGGGCAGTGGCGATAACTCCAGGGCGGCAATTGCTGCGAGTGAGGCGATTCCGTCGCTGGTGGCGATTCTGCAGTCGCAGACAGACGCTGCCGTGAAGCAGGATGCTGCTGACGCGATTGCTCACCTCACAGCCAACAACGAGAAGAACCAGGTGAGGGCGAGAGAGGGGCGGGTAGTGGTTAAGGGTTTGGGCAATGTGCAGAGTGCTGACGTGATTGCACACCTCACAGCCAAAAGAACCAGGTGAGGGCGAGAGAGAGGAGGGGGGGGTTGGGCAATTGTGGAGAAAGGGGGGTGTGACAGTTTGTGCAGTGTGCAGACGCGATTGTGCACCTCACAGGAAACAATGAGAAGAACCAGGTGTGAGGCTGAGAAAGAAGAGGTGGGGGCTGGGGGGGGTTGGGGCAGTGTGGGGAGGGCTGGGCTGGGCTGTGAGTGGAAGAAGCAGAGTGAGGTGAGGTAGCACACCTCACAGTTTACAATGAGAAGAACTGTGAACTGTGAGGTCAAGAGAGGAGGGAGAAGGGGGGGCAAGAAAGGGAGAAGAGGGGGGGCGAGAGAGGGGGAAGTGGTGGGCCGAGAGAGGGGGGGGAAGGAGGGCTGAGAGGGGGAGAGGGGAGAGAGGGGCCGAGAGAGGGGAGACCTATGCTGAACCTAAAGAAGAATTGGGTGTGGGGGAGAGGTGGAGTTGAGGGGAAATAATTGTCTCGGCCGTGCAGCTGCTGTCACAAGTAGCAGTGAACAATTTTGAGTTGAGTTTTGAGGCGCCTCAAAACTCAACTGATTGTCTCGGCCGTGCAGCTGCTGTCACAAGTAGCAGCGAACAAGTTTGGGTCTTGCAGGTGAGCAAATCACCTGACAGCGGGCGTGTGCGTGTTTCAGTGGTTTGAGACAAGGCTCGTTTTTCTAGGGTGCGTTTCTTTAAGCATTTGAGGGATGTTTGTTGAGAGATTCTCTTTTGAGACATTCCCTTCAAGGCATGAGAACCAGGTGTGAGGCTGAGAAAGAAAGAAGAGGTGGGGGCTGGGGGGGGGTGGGGCAGTGTGGGGAGGGCTGGGTGGGGCTGTGAATGGAAAAAGCAGATGCGATAGCACACCTCACAGTTTACAATGCGAAGTCATGTCCTTTGAGGCATGATTGCCTTGTGTCGCCGAGCAAGCGGCTGCTGCAGATGCCAAAATCACCACTTCTGCGAATTCGCAGAAGTGGTTTGTTGCTGAACAATGGGCCAAAATCGCCTCTCCTGCTATTTACCCCCCTCTATCCCCATCCCCACTCCAGATGGCAGTGGCGGAAGTGGGCGCTGTCCCAGCGCTGGTAACCATGCTGTGAGATGGCAGCACAGGCGAGCAGGAGCAGGCGACCCCAGGCCCAGTGTGTTTCTCACTCGTTGTATTCCCCCCCACCCCTCTCTCCCCCCATCCCCACTCCAGATGGCAGTGGCGGACGCAGGTGCCATCCCAGCGCTGGTAACCATGTTACGAGACGGCAGCACGGGCGAGCAGGAGCGAGCAGCTTTAGCGTTGGGCACGCTGGCAGTGAACAGCAGCGACAACAAGCTCGCCATTTCCCCTCCCTTCCTCCCTCCCTCTCATATTACCCTCGTTCTCACCCTTCCATGCACGTCCCTCATATCTCCCACTCTCCCATCACCCCCCTCTCCCGTTATCCCCTTTCCAGATGGCAGTGGCGGAAGCAGGTGCTATTCCAGCGCTGGTAACCATGTTACGAGACGGCAGCGCAGGCGAGCAGGAGAGGGCGGCCCTAGCTCTGGGCACGCTGGCAGTGAACAGCAGCGACAACAAGCTCGCCATCGCTGCTGCCGGCGCCGTGCCTCTGCTGCTCGACCTGCTCTTCCACTCTGTCGCTGCTGCTGCTGCTAACACTGCTTCTGCTGCTGGGCAAGCAGGGCGATCAGGGCAAGAAGGGCGAGAAGGGCAAGCAGACCAAACCTCCTCCTCTGTGGAACCTTCCCCACGAGCAGCCACAGCACCGGTTTCCCTCCCGCCCTTCCTCTCTGCCTCCTCCTCCTCCTCCGCGCCTCCTTCCCCTGCCGCCACTGCCAAAACCTCTGCCTGGACCCTCTACGTGCTCTCCTCAGACTCAGTCTCAGCCTCGTTCATCCTCGCTAATGACGGGCTCGAGATAGTGTACAAGGTGTACAAGGAAGGCCCGTCGGAGGCGCAGTTCTGGGCGGGGCACATGCTGCAGCTGCTGGACCCCACGTTCCGGCGCCCTGAGAAGCAAGCGAGTCTCAGAAGGTATGCTTGGACCTCGCCTTCGTCTACCTTTGTTCAGAAGCAGCAGCAGCAGCAGCAGCAGCAGCAGCAGCAGCAGCAGCAGCAGCAGCAGCAGCAGCAGCAGCAACAGCAGCAACAGCTACAGCTAGCAGCAGCAGCAGCAGCAGCAGGCACAGTTGCAGCAGGAGCCGGTGCAGCAGTTTCCAAGAAACTTCTCAACTGATAGTCTTCAGCAGTCGCTCGCAGCACCGCAGCAGCAGCAGCAGCAGAAGAGCCCGATTCAGCAGCAGTTGGTGGCACGGGGTGCTCCCTTGCGACCTCAACTTCCGCTGCAGCATTCGCATTCGAAGATTGGGGCAATGAAGAAGCCAAAGTCGCGATTTGTAACGCAGCGGTAACGTCCCGAGCCACGATTCGAGAAGGGAGGGAATTTTGTGTTGACTAGGAAATCGGCTGCAGCAATTTCAGTCGAGGATCGGGGCACTGAGGATGAACGAGGGGATATTTGCGACGCAACGGTAACGCTGTGAGCCGCGATTCTTGGGGCGCCTGAAAAGCATTTGCAGTCGAGGATGGGGGCGCTTAGGAAGCCATAGTCACGATTTGTAACGCAGAGGTGACACAGCGAGCCTCGATCCTTGAGGATGGTTGCATCATTCGTGTCGTAGCGGCCAAGGATCGAGGCACTGTGTGTGGAAGCCAAAGGTGCTATTTGTAACACAGCGGTAACACAGCGGCAGTGCTGCGAGCCACGGTTCGAGACGGGGTGAGTTCTGCAGTACCAAGCAGCGTCGTGGAATGGGGAGACTGTGTGAAAGGCTGGGGTACAGTAGATGGTGAGAGGCTGACTCTGGGGACCGCTGTGGGGGGGTTGGCCTGAGGAGGCTGTAGGCGAAGCTGTTTGGAAGGGCTGTGTGTGGGGGCTGTGTGTAGGGCCTGTTAGAGGGGGCTGTTGTTAGGGGCTGTATGGGAGGAAGGGTGGGTGTTGAGCGGAGGGGCTTGTGAGAGGAACTGTGGGGGGAACAATGGGGGAAGGAGTGAGGGAAACTGTCGGGGTAGCTATGAGGAGGACTGTGGGGGAGACAGTGAGTGGGATTGGGCTGGGCTGGGCTGGGCTGGGCTGGGCTGGGCTGGGCTGGGCTGGGCTGGGCTGGGGTGGGGTGGGCTGGGCTGTCTGTGGTGGCACTGGCAGCACAGGTGGGTTCCGGTAGATAGGTTTGTGTTTGTTGGCTGGTCCTGACTCCTGATCCAGCATAAAAGCTCCTTAGCTACTGCAGGGTTGTGCTTATTGCAGCGCATGAAAATCGGCACGACTGGTACCGTAGGTAGGAAGGATGGAAGGCTTGTGTGTGCTGGCTGGGCCTTCAAAGGCTAGTGTTTGCCGTACCTTACCGTAAACGTTTTTACATCTGTAGGGCTTTTGAGACGCCTCAAAAGGTGTAGGGCTTGCTGGTTTTGCTACACAACCAGATTGGTGTAGTTGGAACAGTGTCTGGTGGGCCACAGTCGGTTGATTCTTGTAGCTTGGACAAATTATATCTACAGGCGGAAGCCTGGTAAGTGTAAGTGTAAGTTTAAAAGGTTAGGGTAGGGCCGTGTAGCGTTTTCTGTATTGTGTGGTGGTACCGGTACCGTGCTGTACTTTCTCTATCCATCAACACTCTAGTTTATCAGACAACGAATCAAACTGATGCTCATATCATAATGAACTGGCTGAAGGCCTGGTGTTCTACAGTACCAATCGATCTAACTACAGAAATATTGCAGTACTACCAGTATCAATGCACTGGTTTCAATCAAACCATCTTCAACCTATCTGGACGGGCTCAACCCATCTTCAACCTATCTGGACAGGCATCAAACCATCTTCAACCTATCTGGACAGGCATCAAACCATCTTCAACCTATCTGGACAGGCATCAAACCATCTTCAACCTATCTGGACAGGCATCAAACCATCTTCAACCTATCTGGACAGGCATCAAACCATCTTCAACCTATCTGGACGGGCATCAAACCATCTTCAACCTATCTGGACGGGCATCAAACCATCTTCAACCTATCTGGACGGGCATCAAACCATCTTCAACCTATCTGGACGGGCATCAAACCATCTTCAACCTATCTGGTCGAGTACCCCGTCCAGTTACCCTATGTGCAGCTTGTGCGGATGCAGGTGGCTTGCCTGTCACTGGTACGCCACGTGTAGAGAGGGTGCTTTTGAGACGCCCTAAAAACACCCTCTCTTCTCTACTGTGCGGATGCAGGTGGCTTGCATGTCACTGGTACGCCGCTGCTGTCCCACTCCAATGTTACCCAAGCCTAACCCACCGTAAGCCCAATACCGTACCACTCTCGTCTGGTGTCCGTCACACATCAGAGTCACGTTCGTCCCTCGTCTGGGACATCTATCACCAGACTTCTGGATCCAGAGATGCCCCACAACCAAATCACACGCACAAAGCCACCTGCCACTCCTCCCTACAGCAGTGCCCTTAGCAGGCGGCCCTTTGCAGCTGGACTGCTGCTGGCTGGCCGTACTTGCTTCATGCTCAGCTGGAGTTTAGCAGGGCCCAAAACCAACACCCCTTCCGCCTGTGGGGCTCATTCTAGCTGCTGTTGACTTCGCTGCTGCTGCTCCTACTGCTGGCCCTGCTGCTGGCCCTGCTGCTGCTACTGCTCTTGGCCTGGAGAGAATTTCAAACCCATGCTGCTGGCCCTACTCGCTTCATGACCAGCTGGAGTTTGGCAGGGCCCAAAACCAACAACCCTTCCGCTTGTGGGGCTCATTCTAGCTGCTCTTGGCTTCGCTGCTGCTGCTGCTGGCCCTGCCGCTGCTACTGCTCTCGGCCTGGAGAAATTTCTCAAACCCTTGCTGCTGGCCCTGCTCCTGCTCCTGCTCCTGCTCCTGCTCCTGCTCCTGCTCCTGCTCCTGCTCCTGCTCCTGCTCCTGCTCCTGCTCTTGCCCCTGGCCCCGCTGCTGCCCCTTCTCCTGCTCCTTCTGCCCCTTCTCCTGGTCTCCGCACCCGTTTCACCTGCCCAGTACCGCTCACCCCCTCACTCATGCCTGTCCCTCCATTGGCCATGACTCCCCCACTGGTAACCCCAGTGCTGCCCAAACCCCCAATACCCCCACTCCCCCCTCCAAACTCCACACCTTTCCTCTTCTTTCCCCTCTCCTCCCCTTCGCCTCCCCCATTTCCATTTGCCCGATTTCCATCCAAATGCATAACCCCACTACCCATGCCACTGCCCATGCCACCACCCACCCCACTCCCCACCCGACCACCCATCACCACCCCACCGCCCTCCCCACCACCCACCCCACTGCCTGTGGCAGCAGCATCACCCCCACCCAGCCCTCCACTCGCCCCTTCCATCACACCTCCCTGCCTCCCCCTCCCTCCTCTCCTCCCCCTTCCCACTCCCCCCTGCGCGCTCCTCCTGCCGCCCCTGCCCCTTCCGCTGACCGCCCTCCCATTATCCTCACCACCCACTCCCACACCTACAAGCCTTGCATTCTGCTCGCCCTGCGTCTCCTGCACCCCCTGCGTCCGCTGCACCCCCTGCGTCCGCTGCACCCCCAGCGTCCCCTGCACCCCCTGCAAACCCTGCGTCCCCAGTGCTGCCAAGGCCCTTGCACTCTGCTCACCCTGCTCCCTCAGGCTCCCCCCCTGCCCTGCAGGCGATGCGTCTCGCGGCACGACCGGTGCCGTGGCTAGCTGTGCCGAGAGCATAGGGCCTCGCTGGGACAGCACTGACACACTGCCTTGCTGCGGTAGCGGCAACCACATATGGGGGGGCTGTGCTTGAATTGCCTTGGCTTGAGGCGTTGAGTTTGCTCCCAGACTATCCCTCTGCTGCACCAGCAAGGGCGTGGGATTCTGGTTTAATAGACTGTGCGTGTTGCTTATGCCGCCACTGTTGCTGACGCTGGCGCTGTTGTTGATGCTTTTGCTGATGCCGCCAGCGGCGGTCTGGTTACCAGTAGGGTTTCTGTTGCTGGTGTTACTGGCGAGCTGGTTACCAGTAGGATGGTTACTGTTCGCAGGGGGAACGGTGTTACCCTTAGACCCACGCCCCCCACCCCCTCTGGCACGACTGCGGCCCCTCTTACCCTCCCCAGCTGCTCCTCTCCCTCTTCCAGCCCCTCCCCCACTGCCTTCCGACCCTCTCTTACCGTCCCCAACCGCTTCTCTGCCTCTTCCAACCCCTCCCCCACTGCCATCCGAACCTTGGCTGAGAGACAAACGGTTCCCAGGAGGATTGGGAATGCTGTTTGACGGAGTGGAATACGGAGGGGTATTAAGTGGTTGATTAGGGATAAGAGGGAAGCTGCTAGCCGAAAGAGGGTGTTGGAGAACAGGAATCGAAGGGTTCCGTACAACATTAGCGCCAGCAGCAACAGGACCAGCAGCAGCAGAAACAGCAGCCACAGTGGTTGCAGGCGCAACCCCAACTGCAGTACTTGCTCCGTTTGTGACTGCCCCATTATTAGTACTCGCCCCTGGGCCTGGATCCGAGCCTGAACCCAAAGCACGAGCCAGAGGTCCAGGTGCCGAACCTGCTGCCGGAGCGCCTGGTTGGCTGATTTCTCCTGCCGAGCCTGGTGGTGGCCGAACCAGAGGTGGCTCAGGTTTGGCACGAGGTTGGGGCTTTTTGGCGGGAAGAAGGAAATAAAACCGTTTATCCCCCACCTGCAGCAGCTGCTGGGATTTAAGCGGGATCGGGTCAGATCCGGAAGGTTTCGACTGCCCGTCCACGTACACGCCGTTCTTGCCGAGCACCTCCAGGCGAAATTCGCGAGCGGCGAAATCGTAGAAGATCCTCGCATGGTTTCGCGAAACGTTCATCCCGCCGCCGAGCGCGGAGAGGTCGAGATCGACGGACGACTTTTTGCTGTTGCGACCGAGCACGACGGAATACGACTGCACGAAATACTCGAAATCTTCGCCGTGGAGCTTCGCGAAACCCGCGCGAATCTGCGTCGCGAAGGGCTGCGACGGCGCCGGCGACGGCGACGGCGATTGCGACTTCGCCTTCGGCGGCGCCGCGATTTGCTGTTCACCCTGCGCTGGCCGCTGTTGCGGTTGTTGCGCCGGCGGTTCCGTCATTGGCGGATTTGATGGGGGAGCAGACTGTTGCGGAAGGAGCGGGAGCTGAAGCGAAGGCGGACGGAGGAGCGGATGTGGCTGCGGCTGCGGCTGTTGCTGCGGTTGCGGCATGTTTGCTACGGTCAACGGCGGCTCTTGTACCTGACGTTGCGACCCGGAACAATATTGGTGGAAAATATTCGTGAAAAAGCATTCAAACAACGAAATCAGCTGGTGGGACTCTCTATGCCCTGGAGAGTCACGGTTTGCACGATTCCGATCAAATTTGAATTTTTGCTCTGCGATTCACGTCGGGGGTTTGCTGTGATACGGAAGAGTTGGTGGGGAAAGTGGAAGGATGGTGATGAAGCGCAATAGCGAGGACAGATACACGAGGACCTTCTTGTCCTTCTCAGATTCAATGCAAGTGTTTGTGATTAGGGTATCAGATTCCAAATGCATGCCCCCTCACATGTCTCAAATATATCCTATTATAAGAAACCAATATCCTCTCACAGGCCTCTAAATAAATGCACCGGCACCTCAAACAGTAGCCGGCCGTTGTGGCAGCAACAGGTTGTAAAACGCATCGCGGACGAAAAAATCCGCCCCGCCGTCTGTCTTGGCCTTCCGCCAAGCAACCCACCCGCCACTCCTTATCGCCTTCAAATCCTCCCCTCCAGTATAATGAGGATCTAGAATAAGAAACGCACACTCCCCCGTCGCCTCGTCGTAGTCTACACCTAATAGAGTGTACGCGAGAACCCCGCCTCCGATCATTACCGGGGTGCCTTGGGTGGAAAAATGGTGGGCTAGTTGGCGGCCTTTTGAGGGCATGTCTGCTCCTGATGAGACTGTGAGGACTTTACATGTGACCTGGAAATGGTAAGAGGGGTACATGAGAAAGGGTGGGTTGGGTGTAAAAATGGTGGGCTAGTTGTGGGCTAGGTGTAAAAACGGTGGGCTAAAACGAGATAGCTTACCCCCAGCAGGAGGTCCAGAATGAAGCTGAGCTCAATGGCGCCGATCCACTGGCTGGACCCCACAAATGCTGCCTCTTTGTCGCCTATTTCCACTAGTGCCTCCTGGATGCGCCTGGGGGCATGGGACAGGTTGAAGGCGACGGGGGAAAGGGAGGCATGAAGCTGAGCTCAATGGCGCCGATCCACTGGCTCGACCCCACAAATGCTGCCTCTTTGTCGCCTATTTCCACTAGAGCCTGCTGAATGCGCCTGCGAGAGAATAAAAAAGGGGGAAGGTGGTGGTGGGGAGGGGGGAAGAGGGGGGAGCTGCAGTGTGTGTGGTGCGGTGACAAGATTGTGTGATCCAAAGGAGAAGAACGAGAAAATTATCCAGGAGGAGGAGAAACGCCAGCCATGCACCGTTCCACGAGGACAGAGAGTTTGCACTTGCGGCTCAAAACTGAGTTGAAAAGTTGACCAACGGGAGGCGAGATGGAACAAGTGGACGGTACAAGCTAAAATCTGAGAGGAAAAAATCTCGGTTTGGCATGGTACCTGTGGGTTGGCATGGCTAAAGAGGAACTGCTGCGTTTTAAGCTGACTAGAAACGTGATGTACCTGTGGGTTGGCACGGGTAGTGAGGTGTACCTGTGGGTTGGCACCGGTACTGAGGTGTACTGCTGAATGCGGAACCATGACACGATGGTCTGCAGTGAGCGATAGGCACAGCCCCAGCCCTGTAAGGATGAAGTGAAGGAAGTGGGAAGAAGAAAAGACGGAGTTGTTGTACCGAAATGTGGAAGGGAAGGAGGAAGGGGGGCACAGACACAATAATTTTTGGAGAGAAGCAGAGAAGGACACAGGAGGGAACGGGAGAGGGCCAAAAGGTGAAAAGGTGAGGAAGACGTGAAGTAAAGGGTGAAGACACGCGCTAGGAAAACTAGCAGATAGAAGCGAACGGTAAAATACGCAACCTCATGCTGTTGTCGATCCTTGCCTTCTGAGTCGACTAAAAAATCACATGAAGAAAAATGAGAAGAGAGCAGTGAAGGTCGATTCAGTACTACTTACGCTGTCATCGATCCTGTCTTGCATGTAGTGGTAATATTCATATGAGCCCTGCACCAGGTACTGCTTTGAACCTGCGCGGATGGGGAGAGGGAGGGGAGGGAGACAGTGAGAGGGAGTCAAGCTTGAAACAAGCGAGTTGTGTAAAACGATTAGCGGGTGGATGGATGGAACCAGCGGAACACATGTACACAGTAACTGAAGTTATAAATACTCTTCATCACCATCATAAAGATATGAGAATGTAATTTTGCATATACTACACAAGGAATCAACATGAGGGTGAATCTTCCACCTGCAGAATGGGGCAGGCGAGGAAGGCCCACGTGCACATCCCATAGTCGCAGACCTGTCAGAGGCAGGGAGCCGGGAGTGAAGAGGGGTGGAGACGGGTGGAGAGGGGTGGAGAGGGGTGGAGAGGGGTAGAGAGGGGTGGAGAGGGGTGGGAGAGGGGAAGGTGAGGGGAGAAGGCAAGGGAACCACTGAAGGCCCACGTGCACATCCCATGGTCGCAGACCTGCCAGAGGCAGGGAGGCAGGAGTGGAGGGGGGTGGAGAGGGGTGGGAGGAGTGAGGTGGGGGCAATGTGAGGTTATTCCACCTGCAGAATGTAACAAACAAGGAAGGCCCACGTGTACATCCCTTGGTCGCAAACCTGTCAGAGGCAGGGATGCAGGGAGGCAGGAGTGGAGGGGGGTGGAGTGGAGGGAGGAGAGGGCAAGGTGAAGGGAGAAGTAAAGGGCGAGGGAGGGGGGATGCGGCATGGGACATCAGCAAGAGCTTCAGAGGCTTTTCAGAGGTGACATAACAAGGCAAACAAGACACGACAGGAACCCACCTTTGGAGGATGCTTGGTTAGCGTCGGGTGCAGCAGTGGGGGCAGAGAAGGAGAGAGACGAGGCAATGCGCAGCATGGGGCGGTCGAGAGGCAGGCCCAGGCGGTGGTGCAGGGTCAAGCGCATGTCCACTGCGGTTGGGGGGGGTTAAGAGGGTTGTTGGATGAAAGAGCAAGGTGGGAAGCAGTGAGGAGGGGAGAGGATAGACTATAGTGATGTGGCGATGCGCAGGATGAGGCAGGCAAGAAGCAGTCAAGAGGGGCTTCTGAGAAATGGTGCAGGCAGGCAGGTCCAATGGGTGGTGCAGGGTCAGGCGCATGTCCACTGACGGAGGTGGAGGAGTGGGGTGATGGGAGGGTGGGAAGTTAAGATAAGGCAGGGATGGACGACGAGGATGTGGCGTTGAACAGCACTGTGCGATGCTCCGCAGTTAAACAAGCTGGAAAAAAAAAATATTTTCCTTCAATATTTTTTTCATAATATTCATCATGTATCTCTACGAAATCATTCTATACGGAATCATTTGACGTGGCAGTGCTCCCACCCAACTCACCCAAGCTCTGCTGCCCCTCTCCGTACGTGAGAGGGTAGATGACAGTGAGAGGGTGTGGGAAGGACGGCAGCAGCAAGTGGTATGCTCCGAACTGAACCATGTGGGTGGGGCAGGAGGAGCGAACCCATGATGAGAGGGAGAGAGGGAGGAGAAGGGGAGGGACGCAGGGAAGGGGGGAAAGGAAGGGCAGGGGCAGAGTGAGGGCTTGTTTGTGAATGGAAAAATGTGGACACAAAGATTCCTGGATCGAAATGAACTGTTGAGCAATGGGAAACGAACGGAAGGGAATAGCGGGGTGGGGGAGAAGTGGGTGGGAGTGCTCCTCGGATGGAGGAGGAATGGCAGGAGTAACGAGGGGAGGTTGCAGGAATGGGCCTACTTTGAGTCCTAGCTGGAAAGAAACGGCTGAAGCTGCATCCTCTGCTGCTCCTCTCCCATCAGCACTTCTTGCTCCTGCCCGCTTCTCCCTCTTCCCCCCCTCCTCGCCTCCCTTTCCCCCTTCACCCTTCTGTCTTTCTTCTCCCCTGCCGCCCACCATCCACTCGATCGCTTTGACTTGCCGCAACAGCCCCGGCACTACGAGACGACGCACCGCCGCCCGGGGAGATAGGTGCTGAGGAGCGAAGACGAGGGTGCTCAGGGACAGGCTTATCTGGTGCAGGTGGATGCTGGGGGCGGCTGGGGGGGGAGAAAATGGGGGGAGCGAGTGAGAGGATGTTTTAAGCATCACACAAGAGGAAGACGAGGCTACTCAGGGACAGGCTTATCTGGTGCAGGCGGATGCTGGGGGCGGCTGGGGGGAGTATGGGGGAGCGAATGAGAGGATTTTTATACATCTCAAAGTACGTAAGATAAGGCTGCTCCAGGACAGGCTTATCTGGTGCAGGTGGATACTGGGGGCGGCTGGAAAGGAGAAATTGGGGAAGTGAGCAGTCCTTACCCGGGGTGTAGCTAAGGCCAATAGGTGCACTGTTCTGCCCTGCGGATGCTGACGTGGCGGGTGGCGATTGGTTGAGCAGCAGAGAGACACGTGTGGCTGACGCCAGCTGTAAGGAATGGGCGAGTACACAGATTACGAGACCAAGGCAGAGCAAGAACGAAGGGAAGAGGAAAGCGGGAGAGTCGTTGGGAGGGTTGGGAGGAGAGGAGGGCAGGAAGTGAGCAGGCAGGAGGGGGCAGAGAAGGAGAGTGGGAGCTAACAGCACCAGCACAAGTACTCACATACCCTTTTTGAAGCTAAAGTGTCTCCTCTTCCTCCTCCTCCTCCCCCACCACCAGTCGCTCCTTTTCCCCCTTTCCCTCTCGCACCTCCCCCTTTTCCTCCTCCCCCTTTCCCCCCTCCCCCTTCTGCTGACGTCAGCAGTTCACCACACACCATCTCCTCCGCAGTCCCCCCACTATCTTTGCCACGTGTCACGCTGCCATTGGCTGCTGAGGCTCTTCCGTTCGGAAGAGAGCCAATCAGGATCGGACGCGCAGCTCCTGCAGCAGCGCTGGTGGCTGACGCTGAGCTGGCAGCTGCTGACGTGGCAGCGGAAGGCGGTTGTGGTGGGTGCAGCAACCAGAGGGCGTGAGGGCTGATGACGTCAGCTTGAATGGCAGAGAGGGATGCGGATATTGACGACGATAGGGCTGACAAAGAGGGTATATGGAGGGGATGGTGGGGAGAGAAAGGAAAGGGAGGGAGGATGAGGGGGGTTCGGGAGAGGTTTAAGTTGACTCAGAAGTCACCTGAAAGAGATGCAGATATTGACGACGATAGGGCTGGCGAGTAGTGTATATGGACGGGTTGGGGGGAGAGAAAGGGGAGGGGGGGGAGAGGAGGGGACGAGGGAAGAAAAGGGACGAGGGAATGTGTGGAAAGAGTGAGGGAGGAGCGGCTAAGGAATGGCAGAAGAATAAATACCCTGCGTGATGGGATGAATAGCAAGGCGAGGCCCACTCACACTGCTTGTCGTGGGTGTACAGTGGCAGGGCGGCTGCCACGTCACACACCAGCGGGCAGTGCGCCGCCCAAAACTCCTCCTCCAGCCGATTATTCTCGCCAGCAGCACCACTCGCACCACCAGTAGCACCATCTCGCTTTCCCCCTTCACCCTCCACCACTTCTACCTCCACGTCAGCATTCTCACTCTCCTCCTCCGCTTTAATCTCCCATGCCACGTCAGCTTCACACTCTCCTGTTTGCTTGTCGTCTCTCGTTCCCTCCTCGCCGCCGTCCTCTTCGTCTCCCTCGATCTGTTCCCGTTCCTCACATTTCCACGTGTTTTCTGTGATATCCTGACCCCACCAATCATCAACTGCCACGTCACCTCTTCTCAACTCAATTCCCGCCAATATGGATATCCTCGGAGGAATTTCACCTGACGCTAATGCGTCACTCGTCCACGTCACAATGAACGGCCGGCGTGCCAATGCAACGTCGTGGAAGATCCGCCTAAATTCGGCAATCGGCTCTCTTATAAGCGCCTGATTTTCCAGGGTAAACTCCCCTCTCACCGCAACCCCGACGACAGTGAGTCCTCCAGGAATCAGCGGCAAAAGAGCTCGCGCCTCGGACTTGGCGACGTCGCTTTTTTCGCCGCGCTGCTGGACTGCGACGTCCCTAAATCGCGGGTCTACGAGTATGCAAGAGAGAACGGAGCAGGAAGGACGTGGGTCGCGAGATGAGAAGTAAGACGCTGTCGGGCCAACTAACCAGCCGAGAATTACGGGTGAGGACGACTCGATTGGCGAATCAGAGACGGAACGAGGTTGCTTCGAAATGGCGGATCGGAGCGACGCGATCACCTGCTCGTGCAGGCGAACTACAGCCGCCATGGTGGCAACACCTGTGCTGCGGTTGTTTTACAGGTGAATTATGTGTGAGTTGAGAAAAAAGGCGAATTTTGGGGGAGATGAGATTGGGTGATGAGATTCAAGTCCGTTGCGGCTTGATGAGATGCTTTGCGAGGCAGAGCGGTTGATTTACAGTCTAGAGTGGTATGGGCAGAGTTTGAGTGAACTTCGATGAGGATGCCCAGTTGGGCTCATCCGTGAATTGCAGGGGGACCCGCAGCCAAATTTGTGCGAATACTGCCGAAGACGAAAACGTCAGCGACAGCAGTTGCGAAAATAACCTGGGAACACATGACAAAATCTAGGCGCTTGACGCGACAACATCAAGGTTTGGATGGCAGAAATCAAGGTGGGCAAAAGTGCTGATGTGCCAGCCGGGAATCGAACCCGGGTCTGCACCGTGCTGACATGGCAGGGTGCTATTCTACCACTAGACCACTGGCACTCATTTGATGTCAATGTGGTAGACATGCACTTCTATATCTTATAATTGCTTGACTTGTAAGGCTGTAACCCGCACCTCCTCTTGAATTTCTCATTTCAGCCACTTCTTTCCGTTCAATTTTCTCAGTACAGTGGCTTCTTTCAGACGTTTCCAGGCCTCCGCATTAGTTTCATCTGCCTAGATTAGCTCACTACCTCCTTAGCTATTCATCAGACTTGACTCGCACGGTAGCCATGGCGCGTCGCGACGAAAAGAAGCGACGAAAGCGAGACGATTTGGACAGCGAGGATTCAGATGAGCGCATTAGACGAAGCAGGAAGAGCCGGAAATCGCGGAAGGACAGCGACGATGACGATTCTAACGAGGATGCCTCCACGTCAGACTCCGACGGCGATCGCGGCCGCAACCGCAAACGCCGGAGCCGCGGAAGCCGGAAAAAGAAGCAGCGAGGAGGAGATTCTAGCGAGAGTGACGATAGCAGTCGTAGCCGAAGCCGCAGCAGGAGCAGAAGCAGGGGACGGAGCAAAAAGGGTAAAAGGGACAAAAAAGAACGAAGAGAGAAGAGCAAGCGGGATTCGCGCCGGCGACGCCGGGAGCGGTCAGACTCGGAGGGTTCGGAGAGCTCTGGTGGTAGTAGCGGGAGTGATAGTAGCGAGGGGAGCCCGTCGCGTGGCGGGAGGGGCGGAAAGAAAGTGTCGGAGGAGGAGCTTAGGGAGTATCTGGCGAAGCGCGCGCAGAAGAAGGCGCAGAAGCTGGCGAAGAAGCTCAAGCCGAACGCGGTGTCGGGTTACACCAACGACAGTAACCCGTTCGGCGATACGAACCTCACCGAAACGTGAGTGACGAGTCCGAGAGACGCTTAGAATTCAAGTCATGAGGCGGCTCGGAAGGTGCTGCTTGGTGGAGTGCGAGAAGAGAAGGTGGGGATGGCTGCTGAGGTGAGGGAACAGGGAGTTTTTTACGTCTGCATGAGGTGCGAGGGCACCACATGATGTGGTGACTTTTGAGGCGCCTCAAAAGTCATGAGGTGCGAGGGCACCACATGATGTGGTGACTTTTGAGGCGCCTCAAAAGTCATGAGGTGCGAGGGCACCACATGATGTGGTGACTTTTGAGGCGCCTCAAAAGTCATGAGGTGCGAGGGCACCACATGATGTGGTGACTTTTGAGGCGCCTCAAAAGTCATGAGGTGCGAGGGCACCACATGATGTGGTGACTTTTGAGGCGCCTCAAAAGTCATGAGGTGCGAGGGCACCACATGATGTGGTGAGGTAACGCTACATGCAAGAAAAGAAAGGCGCCTGCCCATGCGTGTATAACAGCCAACAGCCCTACCCTCTGCCTATCACCTATGGCACTCAAGATTGTGAGGCGAGAAGATTTGAAAGGACGTGCATGCAGCGAGGCGCCCTTTTAGCAAGAAAATCGAGAAGGCCGTGCTGCAGCCACCCATGCTCCCTCCTCTGCTTTCTCCCTCCCCTGCCCGCAGGTTTGTGTGGCGCAAGAAAATCGAGAAGGACGTGCTGCGAGGCACGCTGGACCCGCGGGAGATCACAAGTCGCTCCCTTCCGCCCCTCTCCTGTCCTTCCATGCTCCCCTGCCGCCTCCCCTGCCCCCTCCCCTGCCGCCTCCCTTCGCGTTTCCAGCTTTGTATGGCGCAAGAAGATCGAGAAGGACGTGTTGCGAGGCACGCTGGACCCGCGGGAGATTACTCTGCAGAACGAGAGGAAGCGCCTCGAGGCCCGCATGGTAAGTTGGATTGTGCTTGTTTGCATTTTGAGTCGTCTCAAAACTTGAAAACTTGTTGAGACACCGCACCTCAAGCTTGAAGGACGTGCTGCGAGGCATGCTGGACCCGCGGGAGATCACCCTGCAGAACGAGAGGAAGCGCCTCGAGTCCCGCATGGTGGGTTGGGTTGTCCTTGATTGCATTCTGTGTTGTTGCTGGTGGGTGGGTGGTCATTACTTTGAGGTGTCTCACGCTGGACCCGCGGGAGATCACCCTTCAGAACGAGAGGAAGCGCCTCGAGGCCCGCATGGTGGGTGGCCCTTCAAACCTTTTCAGACGTCTCAAAGCTCGAAAACGTACTGAAGCGTTTCAATACTCTAAGATCGTGCTGCGAGGGGCTGGACCCACAGGAGATTACCCTGCAAAACGAGAGGAATCGCCTCGAGGCCCGCATGGTGGGTCTGCTGCTGCTGCTGCTGCTGCTGCTGCTGCTGCTGCTGCTGCTGCTGCTTCCGCTGGACTGATATTTATTGATTAGATTTTGTTGTCTTGATTCCAGGCTTACCGTTTCCCATCTTAAAGAAATCACCTGTGCTCACTCCTCCTCATCTGATTACCTGCCGCCCCACCCGCACTGCCTGCCCCACCCGCCCGCAATGTCTGCCCCCCGCCTGCACTGTCATGTCTGCGCGGGTGCGTGCGAGCAGGAGGAGATTGAGAAGGTGAAGAAGCGACGCGAGGAGAGGATGCTGGAGAAGGCACAGCACGACGAGGAGATGGTGAGTTGTATGGAGAGATGGTGAGTGGTGGGGAGAGATGGTGAGTGGTGGGGAGAGATGGTGAGTGGTGGGGAGAGATGGTGAGTGGTGGGGAGAGATGGTGAGTGGTGGGGAGAGTGGTGAGCCGTCTCAAAAGTTGTCTGCTGGCTCGTTGTGTGGTCTCTTGGTTTGAAAGGCCTCGAAACGTTTATTTCATTACTGAACCACTTATGGAAATCTGTTTTGTCCTCTCGTGCATGTGCCTGAGCCTGCATGTCTCTGCCTATATGTCTGTGTCTGTGCCTGTGTGCCTGTGCCTGTATGTCTGTGTCTGTGCCTGTGGGCGTTGCTGCTGCAGGCTATGCTGGCACGTGAGAGGGCTCGAGCTGAGTTCCAAGACTGGGAAGAGAAGGAAGACGAGGTACTGTGCCTCTCTTACTCACTCTCTCGCTCAGTCATTCACACACATATACACGCACACACATGCACAAACACTCACACTTCCGCACACACACACGCACACACACACACACACGCACACACACACACACACGCACATGCAAGGAACACAGACTATTCAGGTTCCACGTGACGCAAGTATCTCATCTCAAGTTTTGAGGCGCCTTAAAAGTGAAGCAAGTAGAACATTCTAACCCCTCCCCTTCCTTCCTTCCTTCCTTCCTTCCTTCCTTCCTTCCTTCCTTCCTTCCTTCCTTCCTTCCTTCCTTCCTTCCTTCCTTCCTTCCTTCCTTCCTTCCTTCCTTCCTTCCTTCCTTCCTTTCTTCCGTGCTTCACCTGCCGCTCCTCCATCCTCTCACCTGCTCTCACCCTGTTTCACCCTCTCCCATTCCCTCGCACCCCTACTCACCCCCTCTCACCCCTCTCAGTTCCACTTTGAGCAAAGCCGAGTGCGTTCAGAGATCCGTTTGAGGGAGGGGCGAGCCAAGCCCATTGACGTGCTGGCGAGGAACCTGACGCTGTCAGGGGACTTTGACATCGAGGTCAACGAGCCGTACAAGATCTTCAAGGTGAGCTCCTTGTCGGGTGGGTGTGGTGGATGCAAGGGGTTGCTTTTTGAGTGGACTCAAAGGCCCGTTGATGTGCTGGCGAGGAACCTCATGCTCCCATTGACTATGTCATCGAGGTTAACAAACCCTACAAGATCTTCAAGGTGGCTTCTTGGTTTGTTGGATGCCAAACATTCCAAGGGTTCTGGGTTCTGGTGAAATTGGGCGGGCTTGATGGTGAAGGAAATGGAGGAAGACAGGGAGGATTTTGTCCGTTCTAAATGACTGGACACCGAGATGCACCTCGACCTCGTGTGAATTTGTTTTGAGACGTCTCAAAACAACACTTTTATCAAATGGAGGAGCACAGGGAGGATTCTTTGTTCTGAATGACTGGACACCGAGATGCACCTCGACCTCGTGTGTGTTTGATCCCCTCTCGTGGTGTGTGTGTATGCGCTCTGTCTGTTCTGTGCGTGCCTGTTGTCACCATTCACAGGGCCTAACGGTGAAGGAGATGGAGGAGCTAAAGGAGGATATCAAGATGCACCTCGAGTTTGACCGCAACAACCCCATGCACCAGGAGTTCTGGAAGGTACAGAGGGTTTTTCTATGGTGTAGAGGGGTTCTGAACGACCAGAAGGACCATAATGAAGGTCCAGAATGACCTTAAGTTCAAGTGGACCTTGATGGTTCCGTGCTTGTGTGCGTTTATGCTCATGGCATGCAGTTGGGGGCTCCTACAAATCCTCTTAAATTTTTCTCCCCTCTGCCCTTTTCCCATTCATCATTCCTAAGTTAATGCTAAACCGTACATTTGAAACCTTTGCAGGCTGGTGGTGTGCAATCACGAGATAGCAGAGACGACCAGAAGGGACATCATTGATCGGGCGAGAGTGAGGGGGGAGGAGCCTCCAGCGGACGTCCTAGAAGAGGAGAGAGGCCTGCACTCAGCAGTGCTGTCCTTTCATCGTCTACTCTTTCCCCCCTTCCTCCACACCCTTTCCCCTCTTAGGCAATGATAGTGGTGTGTAATCACGAGA